TTATTTTCAACAGACAAACCCCAACACATTAAATATCCCAAATAGTAAAATACATGAGTATATAATAAACCATGCTCTCTTTCAGTGTAAATCCAGCTGCTTTGAAGTCCTCTTGGGTGGGCGTATATACTGTATTTGTGTGTGGTGTTTGGTAGCTAGAGAAAATGAAGGGCTTCCATTTGATGTGCTCATCCTTTATTACAAAATTGGAGAACTAAATGAGGTCTGGTAGTGCATCATGTTTGAGCTACGCTCTCCACAGTATAGTGAATTAACCAGATGATAGAATGATCTCACTAAAACTGAACAGGATTAAACAGACAATTTATAAAATTATATCTTTATCCAATGTGAGGAAACAGTGTCCAGGCTTTGTTCATGTTTAATACCAAGCTGCTGTTTGATATGGTCATCAGTTCTCCCTCATATATCACAGCAAGCCTGTGTTTTACTCTCTGTGTTGGATGTCGTTACATGTGACGCGTTCAAATACTGGGTTTAGGAGCATTAATGATAAATCATGTAATCTGTTTACTCGCTTGCGTTCTTCCAGCAACAATAGGAATTAAACAATCCATTTTCTTGCTTTTTTTGGATTGGATTGTCATGTGCTGGCTAACAGTTTATACTGAATTTTTTTTATTAGTTGAGGTTGTTTTGAATGTTGTTTTAGTGCACTTGTATGTACCACTGCAATTCGCTGAAGTCATAAATGGCTTTACGCCATTATCGGGTGCTCAATATAGGATTTTCAGGGTTTGGTGGTATAGAATCCTTTGGAGGATCATTTTCTTCACAAAACTCGCTTTGAGGCTTCTGTGTTTTAGTGCAATGGCAGGAGATAGAAGTGCTTCCTGTCTTTCCATACAGCTCATAGCTTTCCCGCACCCAAATTAGCTGGAACTCAGGAAAATGAGGCACTCATCCTGCTAGATTTGGCAGGTCATTCCACCTCCCCTCTTAATGCCTGGGGATCAGTGAATCTCGGCCTGTTAGATGCCTCCAAGGCTGGATCCATCAGGGGGATCTGAGACGGCACTGCTTCCTCATTTTCCCCCCAATCTCAATTCAATTACTGCCACGCCTGCCCTGAGAATGAGATTAGGCCTATAAGACACGTTTCCCTATTGCATAGAACCCACTCTGCCTATTAAATATTTCAGTCATGCAGGAAACAAAGGGCTATGCACTCAATTTAGATAGTCTACATGAAGTTAGAGACGGCCATTATGAACTTATGAAGGACTTCGGAATGAGTCCTTTGTGTTTTAGCTAAACTAGCCCCATAAAAAGCATCTCAAAAGTGTCCCAAAATATTGCTGATAGTATAGTGATGCTTTGGACAATTTTATTTCTTGATTGTCATCATGAGAGGGACTGGAATTTGTTGTGAGGTGTTTTAGGCCTGAGACTGTCATGTAGCAATATCTGCAAAACTCTTTTACTCTTAAAGAATCAGACTGTGGAGAGGTGAAGTATGTTGGTGATTTGGTCCATTTGTTAATCACTAGTCTTATCATCTTACATCCCCCTTTCTTGAACTTCATGACTGTACCTCGTAGAATGGGTTAATCATTTACTCTGCCAGATGGATATTTATAATTTAGAGAAAGACAAGATTATTTTTTTTTCTGTTTTTCCTTTCACACCTTTTCACAGTTCAGTGAAATATGATGTGTGTAAAGGTGAACTACATCATCAATATTGTAAATGTTGAAATCATGCATTTTAATGACTGAAATGATTCAAATAAAGAAGTATTTTTAGTTCCTTGTTTACTTAGTGCAAAAGAGGTTAAGTCAGTAAATTGTGATAATAATACTATCAAGACAGAAAGCTTTTGCGTGGAATTGCTTTGCAATGTGTGGCTTGGCCTTTTTTTAGTAAAGAATTAGTAAGTGTGTTTCCATCTTGGGAATTTTCTCGCTTGCTTTCACTCTTGATTCATGTGCCTGGCTGCAATAAATGTGACCGTTATCGACAGCACTGACTAGTAGACATTGCATGGGTTGTAATGGTGTTGTAAAGAGACAGATGTGCAGCCCATATACTGTAGCTGATTGATGAAACAGTGTGTTTTGGGCGTACGAAGCAGCAAGTCAATAATATCTTTTGATCCAGGAGAAGCCAAGTCCACTCAGTGCCTCACAACAGCCCATGACAATCAAAGTACACAGCAGGCTCTCCCCAGGTGCTGTAGTCGACTATCATGTGAAAAGCACCAGTTTATCCTTAGCGAATCAATTCATGTCTGCGTTTTTGCTGGAAAGCACAGCCGTGGTGTACAATTAAACCTGCTTTAAGTTTCTCTCCAGATTAATGTCCGTATCAAAATTCATAAAGAATCGGTAAGATGAGAAGCCTGAGCTCATGGATTCGCGGGGATTTTGTATGAAGCCCATTTAATCAGGATAACACTGTTATTAATATTCATAAAGTCAGCTGGAATACAAATGACAGACTGAGGAATCTGGAAACTTTTTGCTGCAGAAATGTATTAAACGGAGCTTAAAAAATTAATGAAATTTAGTTTATATTAGACAAAAATGCAAAACCCTGTATTGGTTGATTGTAATTGGGCTTAGACATTTCTTTTTGAAGAATTCCATCTTTGACGGACATCAAAGGCATTTTCAATGAATGCAATGCATGAATGGTCATTTAAAAGGATTTAAAGACATTACGCGGCAATAATTGTACATGAATAATAAGTAGCCCACAGAGGCAATTAGCTTAAAGTCTACAAGAGAGGAAAATGAAGATCATAGGGAGGCAGTAGAGGACAAATTACAATGAGAAAAGTTTGAAATAAAAGGATAAAGAGGGTTTAAGATGGGAAAGTGTTTTTTGTTGATTTTATTATTTGCAATGGTCACTGGTTTGTGACCCTTAGATATTTGTTATTTATACATTTATGACGTTTTGATAAACTGCATTTTCTGTTTGAAGATTTTTGCTCTTTAGGAAACAGAAGTGAACTATTTTAGAAGGCAATATTTTAAAATGGACATAGAAAATATCTTTAATCTGTATGTGATATAGATATAACCCCAGAAATAAGCCCAGCAATACTAAAGTTAATTTTCCTGGACACTGTCTGTTTTGAAGCCGATTGACCACATACTTCATTCAGCCATAGTGCATTATAAATGCATGCGTCTAATGCTAATAGCTGCAGATTATGTAGAAATGTAGATGTAATGCTAATTTACCATCTGGAAAGGCAACAGAAAGTCTTCAGAAGAGGCAGGCCTCCCATCGCACTCAGCTCAATTCAAACTTTCATTAAACCAGAGGGAGCTCTTTTCTATTCCTCACTATCGGTTTATTGCAGAATATCAATTTCATTAAGTTCCTCCCAGGTAATTCTCTGAGGAAACAGCGTCAATCAGTGAATCAATCCAAATTTATTTGGTAAAGCGCCCTTTTCAGAGCTCTTTGCAGTGTGCCTCACTGAAAATTACGAGACTATCAAAAGGTCAGGTTTGTATGCTCGCCGTTGTTTTCCCTTTCTCTTTTCAAAAGCTACTTTCTCGTGTTCATGATAAAGGATTACGCGACTCCTCAGCCATACCTACCAGCTGAAAAGTCCTCTCCACCTCCCCTGTCTCTGTAACTCCTGCGCGCAGGGCCAGGTCCTGCCCAGAGTCTATCACTGAGATTAATGGAGCCCCGTGGTGTCTCGCACAAAAAGCCAGTTGTCCGTTCACGCCTGACTGTGCCTGAGCTGAATAGTGTGTGAGCTGTGTGTGCTGGCTTACAACACAGGGATAACGTTCCACTGGCATCTGCCCCGGGGGTCACCCCCCCGTCTAGCACCCAACCTCCCAAGAGCGCAGATGCTTAGCGTCACCCCCCCCCCACCCCACCCCACGTTCTTTTTTTTTTTTCTTCTGCTCTTTTAGTTGCTCCTTATATTTTTGTATGCTGAATTAACTAATTTCATTTTTTTTCTTCAGTGTCATTCAGCTTCAACCCAAAATGTAGTTTTAAATTCTTCTGCCAGATCTTCAGATCTTTGGTATACTGACTCCATCAGTCAAGTCCGAATAACTTTCTGGTATGAGTCCATGCAGTGCTACATGGGAAAGTGATAGAAGCGAGACAAGCTCAAGAAAGGGCGGTACGTCTTTGAACCAGCAGTTCATGACAGTTCTGCAGGACAGGATCTTAGAGGATCACATGTTGAGCTTGAGTTTATCCTCTATAAAGATCTTCATTTTCCATTTTATTCAAGGCTGCCAGTTCTGAATATCAATATGAAGGTCTGTTTGGAAAGTTCAGGGATGTCCCTTTGAACACAGCCTTGTTTGGCCAGGTTCTAGCTGAGCAGAGCTACAGTGAAACTCTCGTGTAAAGCATAATTAGCTTTTTGTCTTTGCAACTTCACCACTAGAGGGTAGCCCACTCCCACCGCTGCAGACGGTGGGTCCCAGCAACAGGCTTCATCTCTGAATGTCAACGGTGCTCCTAATTGCCTCCAGCCTATTTGTTGCTTGCTTATGAATTAACTTGCATTTATGGAAGTAAATTATCCACCATCAATTACCATGAATTACACCTGAGAAGCTGAACTTTAATTGGTGGTTCCTAACGAGGATCTGATATGGCTTGAGCTGTATTAAATGAATGTTTACTTTCCTGATAGCTAAAAGCATTAAAACGATTGCACGATGGGATTACGATTTGTTAATTGCCCTCATTCATTAGTCCTCCATAAACTGTTAGGTAGAGCTCTGGTACACAGTGGAGGGGATAAAGCAAAGTCTTGAAGCACAATTTCACTCTGCAAATTAAAGCTGCCTGTCTTGTTTTGCTGTCTATGCTCCAGAGGTTATTAAAGATCGCTCTCCACCCAGCACCCCTGAGATCATATTGACAGGCTATAATTAATACTAACCTTTCTAAGTCTAATGGAAAGAGACTGACTGAGTGCCTGTGATGAAAAGCATTTTTTTTTATTCTCAGAGAAATTAATCATACCTTCTATATATTTCCAGCTAATCCTAAAGTCAATGAGGAACTGAAACAAAGGCTGCCGTCCCCTGTAAAGCGCCATTGTTCAGAGACCACACCACAACTTGGGTAAAGATGCCTCTCTCTGCTCATTTTACATTGTTTGTCAATGGCTTTCTCCCACATGTGACAATTAAGGACGAGTTTTTAATATGTGGGAATGTTTATCAGTGTACATTGCTGCCAGTGATTACCCGCCGTAATGATATCTTGGCGGAGATATGTTTTCTAAATCCTAAATGATGTTACAATGTTTAAAAATCACCTGCTAGTTTAGTTTGTTCATCTTTAGCTGGATGCATTTTGAAATTGGATACAGATGCAATTTCTTTTGAGAGACTGTGCGTATGGTGGAGATATGGGATGTGACGGTATATCATGTTTGCTGTTACTGAGTTGTTACCTTTTTGGTACCTTGAACATCCACTTTTAATCTGTCTCTCATTTTTCATATATCAGTTTTTTTGTGCGGTGCCACTCACATAAGTTTTTGGTACAACAAAGCTTGGTGAGAATGATTATTTTTATTTACAACAAATGCAAGAATTACCCACATTTAATCAAAAATGGAAAAAATACATTAGTAACTAAATTACTGTTACCACAGTATTTTTGCATGGTTGTCATGTATTCATATTCTACTGTGACACTATTTAAAAAACTTATTTACGTATTTTTAATTATTTAAAACTAAAAGCCAGTACTTAAAGCCTCAGATAGCACAAATTAACATTTTTGATATTTATTAATTAAAGTATTAGGATGTCTGAAAAGGTAATAAAAATTCAACATGTTTGAAAGTCACATGGGTTACACTGATGACATGCAATTTTTTAGATTTTCAGACTGGTTAATTTTTTCAGATACAGGCGAGCGAGTCCCGCTCTGTCAGCAGAATGTCCCCTGCCCTTGTTGGGTCAGAATTCGCTCTCTCTCCCTTAAGATCTTTGATATTTACCTCATGTACTACCTGTGCTTGGAGCTTTGAAAAACAAGCGAAAGTCCATCAAAGACTTCACCGTGATGTCCAGTTTGTCAATATCCTTTTTCCTCTGTCCTTGTACATCGGATACAAAGAAAGGCTACTTTGTATTTGATATCTCCACCATTCAGCCGCACACTTGTTAAGATATGTAAACCGTGTTTACATATTTTTCTGTTGTGTTGTTTTCAGATTCTCCAGCTGGGGCTCTAGTCCAGATATTTTTCACAGTGCATCAGAGACAAAAGCTACTGAGAAAAAGCCCATTAAAGGTAATCTGTTTATTTTTTGTTATTGATTATTATGATCATATATATATATATATATATATATATATAGTATGTATGTATGTATGTGTGTGTGTATGTATGTATGTATGTATGTATATATATATATATATATATATATATATATATATATATATATAATATGTGTGTGTGTGTGTGTGTGTGTGTAGATTTGTTTTATTTAAGTTCTTTGTTGCAAAAAAGCTTTACATTCTGTTCCCGTTCTAGAAATGTTGCTTAACTTTATTTAAACAGAATTATCTGTTCCTCATCTGGCCACTGTATTTTGTGTTTGAATGTTTGTACTACTCTGTTTCTTTTCCCTCTCCCACTTAAGCGTTAGTCTGTTTTGAGCAAATGGTTCAAGATTTCAAAAAGTGCTTCTTTGTTTGCCCGATTGCTGTTCCATGCGATACATAAACATTTATTTACAAGTGTAAATCACCTTCAACCACAATGTCAGTCTGCCGTCTAATAACTTTGCCTAGGCCATAATGCTATGGCAGAGCCACTATTTAGATAAACTGGTTGGAATGACAATGAGAGATAAACACCGTATTTACCCACCCTTCACCAAACGCTCCTGATACGCAAATTTATTCTGACGCTCTGCTCAAATATACATTTGGGCTGTTGCTGAACCACTTCAAGCCCCCCGCTCGCCACACAGGTTTTAGTATGCGCCAAGACGATTACTGTTGATGGAACAACAGTTGCCTTTTCATTTGTTTGGTTGTTTATTTTTATGGCTTGTTTGTTTATTTGTTTATTTGTTTATTTATTTATGAATTGTCTTTGCATTTTAATTTTTAGCATTTTCATGGAAATGGATGCGCCTTTTATCAGATGCACCAATTTAACGACATTTTATTGTACAAAAACGTCTTGTACACTCGAGTTGATTTTTAATTTCATTTTGGTCAGTTCCCATAGGTAATAACCTCAGTCTCCTCCACGGTTAGATTAAATGCCTGCCCTCCTGTTTGTGAGGAAGCGCTACTTTAAACACGCACTCATATTTGGGTGCAGCTACCTTTGTGAGAGCCACCCAGAGAGGAGAGGGAAAAAAATTAAAGAAGTAACCCAGGTTAAGGAACAATGTATCGAGAAGTCGCATATTTGCTGTGTGACAAAGGGCTTATATAAATGTGTTTGGGGTTATTATTCATGGTTGAATTTGGTGTTTGCACTGGTGAGTCTTACGGAGAATACTAATAACTGTCTCCAGCAATCCTGAGACCAGAGCCCTAGCAACAAAGCTATGAGGCAGACCTCCCTGATCTCGACTTCAAAACCTGACCTTTCGCTAAATAATTGTGGCTGCTAAGCTGGAGCTTTTTGGACATCGTGGTCGCAAGGCTGCGACTCCTGCATCACATTGCATTTATTAATGCGGATGACTCCCCCTTTTTTCTTTTCTCTAGAGAGGCCGTGCTTTTGAAGCAGTGATATGCTTTAAGTAGCCCATGTTTGAATTTGACTCAATTTGAATTGCATTGATGTCGAAACGATTTATGTATATTTTATAATCGCAGGAGAGACAGGCCAATTTTTTTCCCCCGTGTAGCACTTGACCCTGGGCATCCCCTTGAACTGTCTTATGATTTGTAAACGGCCGTGCAAATTGTACAAATTTAGAATTTATTATTTTTAAGATGGTAAATAAACAAAAACCAATGCACACTGTATTGTGTTTACAATCTTTACAACAGCTTTAATCAGATTCCACCAAGATCCGACTACCTTGACAATTACAGCTAGTGAAATTGATTTGGATGTGATAATGGCTGCTGTGATGGAGTGTGAATAGTGAGAAGGTTTTGGAGGAGAGGAAGTGAGAGAGAGAGAGAGAGAGAGAGATAGGGCCGGCCCTCGCTGGGGGAACAGAGCAAGTGCTCAGAAAGGCTGCCAGCGAGACAGGCCTTGGTGTTTGTCTCGTAGCCTGTGACTCTGGCCCTGAGCGCTACAGAAACATTGACAGAGGACCATGCTTCCCCCTCCTGCCAGTCACTCAGCCTGGCTCGCCACATTCCTCCATGAAAGATGGCCAGACCCAGTTTCCTTTTCAGAGAGCTGACGCAGAGCAGCTGAAAACCAACAGAGCTGCTTTTCAACTGTCAGACCTGCTTCTCAAAACAGGAGAATGGACGTTACGTTTGGGCCTGACGTTTCTCTCTGGATAGTTTTGCTGTTTCATGGGTGACACTTTTCACAAGTGTTCTCTAAAGTCTTGCTCCTTTATGTAGTGAATGAGAGGAAATGAATTATTTTGTCTGAATAAATATCTAAATTATTATATTACTATTATTATTATTATTATTATTATTATTATTATTAGTATCATCGTTATTGTTGTGCACTAGAACTCATATTTTTGTTTCTCACATAGAGCTTAGCACACCAACACCTAGACAAGACCCAGTGGCTGGACCACCGCCACCACCACCCCCACCTCCGCCAGCTCCAGTTAGGAGCATGGAGGAGGGGAGGCTGTCCCCTCAAAGAGCCCTCATACAGCAGGCCCCGGACAGAGAGGAGCTGGACAGGAATCTGGTCAGCAGACCTCATTGTAGTACCCCTGAGCCCCCTCCACCCAGGTCAGCTTTACACACAGAATAGAAACTGCTGTTATTTTACAGATCATCTCCATCTTCCTAATTACAGAATCTGTAAAACGTCTCTAAGCACTGCTTGAGTTTGGCTTCATTTGTCTGGCCTTTTACAAGTAGCGTTAGTTATGACACAAGCTTAGAAATATACTGCCAGTAGTCTTTTGTCCATTGTGGGATGGTTATAATTAGACCACATATAGTGAGTGTCCTTTAATGAATATATGAAGCATTGCATTTTCAGTGTCGCTTTAATAAGAACTGAATCGAATTCCTGGTTGCACGAGAGAAGTAATTTACCTGCCAATACACTGCAGTAATACTTTAATATTACCTTAAAGGTCAACTGTATGATTTGCGTAATATCTCAAAGTAAATAAGGCACAGTAATATTCTTGAAAGTTTGAAATTGCATCCCTTGTGTATGTGATAATTGCATGTCAAAATTTGACCATGATTCGTTTGTGTTGCCCGAATGGGAGTTTAATAAGAGCATTTCTAATTAATTGTTGTCTTTTTTTTTTAGAAGAAGCGCAGATGAGGACCAAGGGAATTCCAGTGTTAGGAGTGAAACCAAAAGACAAATCCCAGTCCTGGATAAGGAGAAGAACATTGCATTCTTGTTGAAAGAACTGGACTCCCTCAGAGACCTTAATAAGAAGGTAAAGAAGCACGGTTTAAGGGGAGATTCAGTATCTCACTTTTTTGATATCAAATTGGTTTCACATTTGGGAACATGTATATCAACCACTCGACATGTGAGCAGGGCTACAGTTGGACTAGCAGGACATTTGCAAGTGATGTGGAATATGTAGAGAAGGTATTAGGGATACATCCTACAGCAAAGTGTTAGATTTTGAAAGAGATTCCATTTTTGAGTGATTGGAAACACTGTTTGTTCCTTTCACTCTACTGCACCAATCAGTGCGCACACACATGTGGAACTGTTTCTACATTGTGTCAAGAGAGGATGTGATGATCAAGATCTTCTCCACTACAGGTTTGACGCCACAGTATACGGCAAAACAATACTAACAGAATCTGTCTGTAGTCACAGGTTTTGAAATCATGAAAACATGTAAAAATGACAGAGCCAAAGAGCAAGTATAACTAAAAATAATGGAAGTCAGTGCCTTGAATGACCAACTGTTCTCTGTCCTCTTGTTGAGGATGTGGGATTTCATAGGCACGTTCTGTAGCCTGCATACTGTAATCATTTTAGTATATTAATTTCATTCATTGTCAGCTCAGTTTTATTCTATTGAAAGGAATTTTTTTATGAATAAAAATGTATTTCCTTTAATTAACTTGTAGTTTTATGTTTTGTGTATTATGACATTACATTTAGTATTTTAATTGTTCAAAATTAAAAAAAAAAAAAAACAGTTTTGGCCAGGAATTTTCATTTTGGTGCATCACTTGGGAGTTTTCTAGCAGTTGATAAGGTGGTTTTCCCATGTTAAGTTAGAAATGAATGAATTGGCTCTTGTATTTACTCACATTATTTGGTGCCAAGCTGAAGTCACATTGGAATTTGTTTGTATTAGCTTATCAACATGTAAGAACATTTTGTGTCTTAATGTTCGTATTAATTTTCTTTTTAGATCGTGGCTTTGTTAATTACATTTTCTCTCTCACATTGACAGAGTGGTCCTGTTATACAGTGTACAGAAGTCAGTACAGAGATTAGAGAAATATAGTACAGGGCCTGAGTACCTAAATATCAGTGTATTGGTTTGCGCTGTTGCTGTAACTGTAACTGTCTATCACTGTATCTTTGTTCATCTGGAGCTCCTCTCATAATGGGCTGGAGTGGAGAGGCCCACTGAAATGACTATAATTGATGTCCTGGGTTTACAAGTAGCTGTGACTCCTGACAGAGAGGCAGGAACATGTCCCAAGAGTGTGTTTTTGCTGGCAGAGCTGTGGGAAAACCTTTTGAGGGCTCCAGCCCAGCCTTGACACATATTCAAAGTGCAGGGAGGACAAAAACAATCTGGGTGCAAAATATTTCAGACAGGAGGTTAAATCTATCATTTCAGAACTTGTAAAGTATCACTCCCCAATTTGGATTTATAGCAACGGCGCAGCAGTTCGTCTTTTTTATTAGCAGCCCAGAATAATGTGATGGAGAGGCTAGTGCTACAGTTACCAAAAGAGTGAGCAGGAAATGTCTGAATAGTTGAATAGTATTTTCTCAGTTAAAATCACTGCTGAATCTGACTGGACATTCCACACAGAGATGCTGTTGTGTTGGCTGTTGACAGAGCACTATTTCGTACTGAATCCTTCCTAAAATAACTTCTTTCCACACAAAATGACATTCAGAGGGAAACAACATTGATGTTTGTGTGTAGCTACAGGACAAGCTGGCCCTGAAGGAGAAAGAGCTGGAGACGATGCGACTGGACAGCCAGCTTCAGGAAACAGAACTGGAGGCCCACGCTTGTGAGAGAGCTGCAGGTAGGGAGGAGAAGAGTAAAGAAGACAGAACTGAGATAGAACATTGCCTGTTGTCCAGCACTCTTGACCGCAACATTTCACATTATGACCACTAAAAATGCAGAGCGAATAGCCTGAGTGAGCCTTTTTTTACACTCTTTTTTTTTCCTTTTGACAAACCTCAGCCCACAACATCTTAACTGGTAGATATAGTGTTCAGTGTAATGCTCGCTATGCCATTTAAGAATCACCTTTGTTCTAAGATGCTTTTGGGAAGCCCAGCCCTGTTAGGTCAGGCACAGAACCAACTGCATCAAAGCAACTTTTGTAAGACTTTGTTAACTGTAACCATCGCAACAATGTGGTGTCTGTGAAATCCCCCTCTACCGAGCAGGTCCGCCTGGTGTTACAGATGCTGTTCCACTGGCTGAAGTTTGCTAATATCACTCTATGAATTTATATTTATTGATTTTATATAAAAAAGGTGTTAAATAAGCTGGCATTACACTGAGAGTCTATCACTGCTGTAGCTAATGAAATAAACTAGATCAATGATGTCAATGCAGACCAGGGGCCTCAGTTATAAAACCTTCGTACACGCACAATTAAAATGATTGTATGTGAATGTTCACGTTTAAGTAGTGATTTCTAAAAAGTGAATTTGACATGAACTTTCCAACCTTGTGTATGAATAGCAGTCTGTGTGACAAGCAATAGGGTTCATGATTCATAAGCATTACTTTTATAAATCAGTCAAAATCTTGAAAACATATTTTAAGAACAAGTTTGTAATGAAATTCAAGTACATTTTATATTTTAGTTCGCTGATTGGCAGAGGGACCACCACGGTCACCACAAAATCTTTAACAAATATTTCCTTTTTCAAAGCAACGCCTGGCTAAAGCGTGCTTGTGAGTTATAGGTATAATGTATGTATGATAAACATTTTCATCATTATGGCCACAGATTCTTAATTTTGGCCACAAGATTGATTGACTTAGTGTCGTGAGTGGCCAGTGAAAGTTTTATATGCATCTCTTCCTGAGAAATAAGTGTTTGACCCAGGTAAACTGCAGTGCTCCACTGTTTTTAACTTCTATTGCACACTTCCAGCTAAGTTGTCATGTCTGACCTTTAAAAATACAGCAGGAGATTTATGTCAAAAGAGGCTGTTTCATTCAACTCTGAGTTTTAAATTGCATTTAAAGTTCTGTCATGATGCTTCACTATGTCAGTCAGACCTGAGGAGTTTGACTATTGTAAACAATTACCCATTTGTTATACATACACGCAAGTATCCAAGTGAATTAGGCTACGTTGTAGCTAATTAGTTTTGTTAATGGAATTTACTTGCTCCTCACCTTTGCTGAACAAATATTGAAATTTGTTCATGGTTCCCATTTTTCCTTAACCATCCAGAAAGCCCTCTCTCTTGCTTTGATAATTAAAAGAAAACACAAGACATATATAGAGCACAATTAGGCAGCCAATTGTTCGTTTAATAATGAGATGAACATGCATGTATTTGCCATCCTCATTTTAATACGATTTGCATGGTTCAGGGAGGCGGTGTTTAATGAGCAAATTCTAGATAAAATGCAATATTGATTTTCTTACTGAACTTTGTCATGGCTTAGCAGGAGGCTGCCTGTTTATCATTAAGCCATCTCAGCACGAGGAGAGGAATTAGGTGTTGATGGATTTCAGTGCTTCTTTCATTGGGCTTAAGCACGGAGCTGAGGACAGTTTTATAATCCTGAAATCTTGTGGATTTTACCGAACTGTTTCAATGTATGATTATTTTTGGGAGCAGGATGTGGCAGGCTTGTGTAGGAATCTAAAAGGGTCACAAAAGCGTGGGTGACCCTTCGTCATTTATTGTCTGCTTTTGATTCTGAGACTTTACCTGAGAGACTACAGACCACCTGGATGTTGTTAGCAATAAGAAAAGTTTTTTCCATTAAACTTCATTAAACTCATTTAATGATTTATTCATTACAGTTCAGTTTTATATATATTGGTCATTCAAGAAAACTTTGGATATACAATGCTGTGCAAAGGGAAATAAGTGGGAAAAAACTATTGGAGTTGAAAAATTATTTTAACATACAGAGAAAAAGGGACTCCTACCAACCGTGCAAGAGCTGGTAGACCACCATATTACATCTAGCATACTAAACAGACCAGAAATGTACACACACTGGTAAAAAAAAAAGATTTAAACAAGGGCCAAGTAAAACAAGTATATAATAAACAGAATAGAGAATAAGAGAATAATAAAGAGCCAGTGTGAAAGGAGCTAAAGAGATGAGTGAATATCTGTACATACACAGTCTGAGGAGACATAAGATACGACTATTACGTACAGTAATATTCAGAATGATATGAACCTTGTAAAAATAAACAGTTGTACAGTTGTGCAAACAATCACTGTGTTATAGAATGATCTGTACTGTAGTACAGTAAAGGTGGTTTGTTTGTTTCAGTGCGAGGTGTCCGCTGTGGTTAATGAGTGCTACAGCTCTGAGGAAAAAACTGTTAGCGTGTTTGATTTGCAAATCAAGCTGTTGTCAGAACAGTGGACTGACCACCCCAGAGCCAGACGTCATCATTGAATGTGTCTGGGGTTGCTGGAGGTTGTGAGAAGCAGAAACCAATGCAACCAACTTCTACTACTGAGCTGTGAAGATGTGGAACTATATCTCTGCAGATTTCTTTGATAAACTAGAAGCAAATGAAAAGAATGGAAGCTGTAATAAAGGCAAAGGGTGGACAATAAATACTGAAAAAATTAAATTATATTTAGTTGTTGAGGTTTCTGTGTAATTTTCAGTTAAATATTTTTCTTCTGTTATTTTTTTCTTGACACTAAAAAATAAATATCAGACTGGAATTGAATGAAGGGTGGTCTCTGACTTTTTACAGGACTGTATTGAATATGGCGCTATTGGATATTCCACATATCGAGTACTTTCCATTTGAGTCCTATTGCTTGTTGTACCAGTGTGGTCCTTTTGAGCCCTACTGGTCAAACACTCTATGCTTCTGCCATGCATGGAGACCATGAGATGGTTTCTGACATCTATGAGTCGCATGTAATTGCTTACTCTCCCTTTATAGATAGTGGTGATAAAGCAGGGTATTTTGATGCTGAAATTTTCCATATAAAATGCCACTTCTGGAAGTGACTCTGACTGCAGAGCTGCTGTTTTTATTACTCCGGGCACACACATGTCAAACCTGAGTGGAGGCAGTCATCTCAAAATGAGGCTCACTTATAGTTATTAATACCTTTGCCACAGTGTTTCAGTAGCAATAACCTCTTTCCCGAGGAGCTTAGCCTTGTTATTGTGCAGCTGGAACGCTGGTTTCAGCAATACAAGAGTAATAACCATCCATATCTCTCTCTCTCTCTCTATCTCTCTCTCTCTCTCTCTCTCTCTCTCTCTCTCTCTCTCTCTCTCTCTCTCTCTTCCTGCCTGTCTGTCTCTCAGCACTGGTGGAGGAGATTTATAAAGCTCAGAGGGAAAGAGACCAGGCTGTGATGGCCAGACTGCGGCTAGCTAATGAGGAGAGGGACGAAGCTCTACTCCGAGCCAAGAAGCTTCAAGAGGCGGCGTTGGAGTAAGTCCTTCTGTTACAGTGATCCAAACCAGCTCCTTTACTTTCTTACCTGAGTCCTGTTTGAAGACCTGAGGCCTAGCTGGGTGTCCGTTATGTTTAGTCCTGACTGATAAAATTGTCTGACATTGAGGTTACGCAGATTTATTGGTATAGGCAAAACGCCACAGATAAAGCACTGATATTTATAATCTTCCTTTGAGAAATAAATGCTGAGCTGGTAAACTTGACACAAAAGGCTGTCATGTTTGAAATAACAAACACATGTAAAACGCATCCAAATATAACCTTAACATGAGGATACCGGTATGTGAAGAGAACTGATGGGGAAAAGAGCTAATTAACAAAAACAACAAGAAAAACAACAATACAAAAATTTTATACATAAACCACAAAGAATGCTGGGAAGCTCTGTCCCCAGCACAGCACTGCAGTATTTATATTATTTTAGATTTCAATTTCGTTTGTTTATTTGCGTTTTAGAAATTTGACAGATGACCCTTGAAGGCCGACAGAAAAACTTTTCTGCCATTTTATCTACTCTTTGTGACTTTGTAGTGCTGTTGTTGCTTTTATTTGTTTGTTTGTTTGGTTTAGTTACATTTTATTTAGTTTGTGTCACCAGCTACCATTTTACCCAAGAGAATGCATAAATAGAAATATCACTCACACGTCAATCACACTTCATCATTACTTTGATTAAAGCGGCACTGTTTTATTTATTTATTTATTTTTTGTTAAAATGGACAGAATTAGCATTCCTGAGTGGGGAGTAGAAAAAACATGCTGAAATAAGCTGCCTGTGTGCTGCTGCGAGTCACCCTGTAAAGAGTTTTTTGGACCACGTCATACATCTTTACATATTAATGTCACACTCGCAGGGTCAGAAAGGTCTGTCTCAATGTTTAGGTCTCAAATGCAAAATCAACATTATACTGATGAAGATATGACACCCATAGTAGATAATTCACTAAGTCCTTGGAAATTTTGTGCATATCGTGCACGCCCCGTGCATCTTTTATGCGGTGATAGAAACACAATAGCACACAGAAAGCTCCAGTTGTACTCGTTGTGCATGTGATATAACTCCTCTGGTGACAGATTTAAACAGGCTTTCTTTTTTTTGTTTGTTTAAGTCAACTGACATTTAGATCAGGCAGTAAGCAGTAACTAAAACTGTCTGTGTTTCATTTTTAACCATGTACAATCAAATCAACCAATATCTCAAATTATCTGAATATTTAGATTCTTATAATCAGTTTCGGTGGCAAAACTTTTATAAGTTGGGCTATGACGTACTTAAATCTTCCATGATAGCTGGGGTCCGTTCAGACTGCTTTTTTGCTCCAAATATCCAGTGATTTATTCTGAACAGCTGTTTGTCGATTAGTGCCTTATCAGCTGATGTGAATGTGTTGGACTTTCAGTGGCCCATTACAGCTTACTTGTAGCCATACAGTAGGTGTAGAGTAGATATGATATAAGGAGATAATACAGAGATGATTTAATGACTTATTGTCCTATGAAACCATTGATTTAAACCTTTATTAAAGTGAAGGAAAGTGTGAATGAGGTGAAAGTGAAGGTTCCTGAGGTTCTGTGAAATGCTAAACAAGATGTTTTTCATTATACCTCTTCTTTCAACCTCGTATTGCAAAGCACCCTAACATTTTCAGGCCTTTTGCAGTGGTGTTTTAAGGCTTTGTGAACTGCACCTAGGGTGTGGGTTTACTCACCAGCGCTGCAGGAGGCTGCTTTGTTCCTGCCGTTGCAGGACAAGCTGGATGAATGGACTTGGGGGCGATAAGGGTGAGGAGGGAAAAATCCAATATCGACTGGTTTGGAAATATATCAGAGAGGTGTGACATTTCATAAGAGTCCCCAGCCCTAGTACTGGCTTGTCAGTCAAAAGAGTTGCAGTGCATAGGAAATCAATCAAGTCCTTCAGCTCAGCAGATATTTACCGTTAACACCCTGCCTCAACTGCCCTAATTAATGTGATCTTCTTTTCCTGTTTGTTTAGTTTTGCTGGTAATGCTGGATGCAGGTAGTTATGGGGTGAGAATGCTGTTCTTAAGTAGTGGGACCGTTTAAAGACGAAAGCTCCTCTGTGCACCTGCAAGGGATGACAATCAATATGTCTCTGTGCAGTTTGAGAAGTAATTACAATTTTACTTTGGGGAATACAGCTTAATGCATTGAACTGGCATGCATATACATGCATATATTCATATAAACACACACACTGAATGGTACATGCCTGATGAAAGTTTTTTTAATTTCATTTTTTAATCTGTGTTCTGTTCTTAAAAATGAATCACAGTGAACCTTATTTAATATTTCATTCTCACTCATAATTTATTGATAATTACCCAAGTCAACTGAGCTGCAATTATTGAGAGGCATGAAATGCATTTTCTGTGATTCCAGTGAATGCCAGATCGCTTCAAAATCTAATTATGAAAATGCGTTCTTCTCTTAGATGTATTGCAGTGCCCATCTCAGCCTCCCTCTAGACATGGTAATTGATACGTAGAATCCCATTATCTTCGGTGGAATGGGAGAGCGTGTTCTAAACCCTTATTTTCAGAGGTCACTCCTGGGTCCAGTGTGTGAATGAGTATGTACCTTTATAATGGGAGGTGATCCATGTAATGCCTTTGTAAATGAGATGAGAAGTTGTTGTTTTTTCTGCCAGAGAGAGCCTGGAACAATCAGACTCCCTCTCAAAGGAGAGGGACACACAGCCAGGGGTATTTCTGCAGTTTATCAGGCAATTTATCAGCTCCTGAAAATGAATAGATGATCACGAAGCTCACTTGAGTGGTAAAATGACATTTCAGTTTATGAATACAAGAGAAATTCTTGCGATAAGTTGAAGTACTGATTTTTCACAATTTCTGTATAATGCAATCATTCAGGTTTAATTAAAGTTTTGATGTGAAATGCTTTAGTTTACAGAAACTTGCCTAGTCAGAATTGTTTAGGCTAGTTGTGAGAAGATTTTATCTTAAAATATATTTTTCAAAATCCATGCATGGCAGAGAGGTATATGCAGGGTGCAAAATGGTACCTGAAGAAAATCTTTTTTATCCAGATTAACCACTATTTTACCTTTATCAGCATTACACCACTCAGAAGGCACATGTAGGTTCACTGGTCATATTGGATAGTGAACAAAATGGCTTTATTTACAACATTTGCCACCTGTTAGTTCCTGTTAGCACCATTGTAAAAGTTTCTCAACAATGCTCTGTTTCATTTCATGCTCTGAATGACATTGTTTATATCTTAACCATTGAATTATGTTGAGACATGATTAAAATTTCGTGGAATTTTCCTGTATTACAAAATCCTAGTGTAAAGTGATGTAATAGTTGATGTTACCTAGTGTGGAATTGCAACGTACCAAGTGTGAATAAGAATACCAAGAACTCAGGGATATTTTAAAGGCTGCTGCACCCATAATTCAGTGAGCATTGGCCTCCATTAAAGGTGTCTTTACCTCCATAAAAAGGCTCTGTGCTTGCATGGTCCAAACAGTTCAGCCCTTCTTTTCTGCACATATGAACAATTGATCCCAGTAGTCATATAGAGTAGTAAACATTAATATCTTAACAGTTCACTGTCGGTGCAGAATGGACATTCTTGTGGAATAATACTGAGGGCTGGTGGCACTTTTAATATGCTGGAGTGTCTTCTGCTCCACAGCGAAAAACCAACAGAATGCAATTACTGGCTTTGGGAAGTGATCTCATTTTGCCAAGTGGAGGAAAGGAAACTGATGGAAGCTCACTACATTTCATTTCTCTCTTTGTCTCACTCTGTCACTCCCTCCCTCCCTCCCGTGCACACTCTCTCTTTCCCTCTCCAGGCTGGAGAATATTAACCCAGAGGAAAGTGACATGGTAAGCCCTTTAGAGAATTTCATGTGGTCTTACAATTTTTCTGTGTACCGTTTTTGTGAGGCTGTCTTATATGAGAAAACGACCTTAGGAAACAAAGGATTGTGAGGGTCTCTTAGAAAGCTGATATCAAATTTGTTAAGTGTAATTCTTGTTTAAAGTCAGACATGACAGACCTTTTAACAAGAATCAAGTGACGAATCAAACGATTGTTAGCACAGAATAAACATGAACAGGATCTGTGCTTTCCCGTTCTGTCCAACCAGGAGAACCCAAAAAATGAAGAATAACTGGTTTAGTTTCTGTACCACAACCTAATTTTTATGTCTCGTTTGTCTAAATTAATGATGTATTTTGAAGAAGACTGGTAAACTTGAATACCATAAAACATAACATTTTTTTCCTTTCAAGTTAGTTTGTTGAGTAGAGGAATATAGTTGGGTTTTGTTCCTGACTTTTTGATGCTCTCTGGAATTTGAGCAACAACACACCTCTGACATTATGTTCCCTTTCAAAGAGACACTATCATTCATATAAGAACTACTCAAACTCACCTTGGCTGCCTCACAGATCTAAAATGGCTATTTCTGAGAAGATTAGATAATAAAGAAGAAAATCCACTTGCATAAGGAAGGGAAAGTTCAAAGGTAAATAAATGGGGTGAAAAAACAGGAGTTTCCAAAATCACTAAAAGATGATGAAAAAATAGGACTCCTAACAACCGTGTAAGACCTGGTAGACCATCCAAACTGTCATCATCAGATGAACAGCACTTAAAGCTATCGTCTTTGAGAGAGAGGAGAAAATCAAGCTCCGGTCTTCAGATCTGAAGAAATCCAAAGGTGTTTGTGTCCATCCTTCCACTGTGAGGAGACAACTCAACACTATGAGTCTGAAAGGATGTGTAACTGTTAAGAAGCTCTTACTGAGAAAAGGAAATAGGCAAAAAAAGAAAAGAAATGTGCAGTAGAACCCTGAAACTGGACTTGTGAGATGTGGAGTAACGTTTTATGGGCTGATAAATCTCAGTGTGTAATTGTGATAACTATTGCTTTGATTAAATCGAAAATTGAAAATGTAACCAACTTCTAAGACTGAACTTTGAAGGTGTTGAAAAATATTCTGTCAGATTTCTTTGAAAATGAAAAGTTGAAAAGTTTGGGCCACTAAATGCTGGAATTTTGTTCTTGTATTTAGTTGTTAAGGCCTCTGTCCATTTTGACTGGAAAATAAGGGTCTCTGGCTTTTGCTCAGTACTGTGTGTGTGTGTGTGTGTGTGTGTGTGTGTGTGTATATATATCAAAAAGTCAGGAACAAAACCCAACTATATTCCTCTACTCAACAAACTAACTTGAAAGGAAAAAAATGTTATGTTTTATGGTATTCAAGTTTATCAGTCTTCTTCAAAATACATCATTAATTTAGACAAACGAGACATAAAAATTAGGTTGTGGTACAGAAACTAAACCAGTTATTCTTCATTTTTTGGGTTCTCCTGGTTGGACAGAACAGGAAAGCACAGATGCTGTTCATGTTTATTCTGTGCTAACAATCGTTTGATTCGTCACTTGATTCTTGTTAAAAGGTCTGTCATGTCTGACTTTAAACAAGAATTATATATATATATATATATATATATATATATATATATATATATAAAATGGTTCTTGACTTGAATGTATGGTTCTGTTCATTTTAAACCTTTGAAAGTTTTTTTTTAAGGAACCAGAGATGGTTCTTCTGGCATCTTTCCCAAGAACTTTTTTGTTTTTTATTTTTAAGAGTGTGTCTATAACCCCACATCCTGACAAGGTATAAAAACAAGTCTGTCTGTGTGTCAGGACCTGGAGGAGTTGCTGAACAGGGTGAGCAGTGCGGATTCTGCTCTGAGTATTGAGCGCAGTGGCATGGCCATCATGGAGCGCGTTCAGAAGGCCAGAGAGCGCCGCTCCAAAATCACCTCCGAGGAGATGAAAGCTGTCATAGAGGAGAGAGACAGTGCCTTAACCAAGGTAGGAACCAGTAGCACCACCCCAGCATACACACACATGCACATCACACACGCGCTTTGCTAAGGGTCAGTTTTAACACACACATGGGCTCTAAACACTTGACACTCATTTGTTGTGTACCGAGCCAGAAACCTTTACACCACTGAAATACATCAAATACTTCTCTCTAAATATTGACTATCTCTCTTTCTTCCCGTGTTTTAACCCATCTGCAAGAAGCATTTGATTATCAGTCTATTAAACCACATACATCTGTTTATTCACTGATCCGACCCTGATTTAAGAATCAACACACCAACTACCTAATTCACATGTAGTGACAAATATTGCTGCATAACCTCAAATATTTGATATACCATTCCTACACACATATTTCAATCAAATGAAAACAAACAAGCAGGTAGCCAAATATTGACATCCAGATATTTTACTCCATCGTAGAGTTCAAGTGTGGGCCAGTGTATTTGCTCAGATTTCTCTGTTGATAAATATTGGCTATATTGCATAATGATGTCATATTAAAGTCCATTTCATTGTTGGAATAATCACTTGCATCTTTATCTGGTGCACACTATTGGACTGGTGGATAAATTGTGATTAGATATTTGAAGACACAGATTGCAGACCTTAAAGGGGAATTCCACTGATTTTTAAAAGATTTCTGCATAATTAAATTAAATAAAAAGGTGATGTAGTAGATAAAGTAGTTCAGAGTGGTTTACTGTAAAATGTGTCATTCTAGAGAAGCTTGTTCACAGCGGTAGTGAGAACCAGACGTCTGACAAGTTTAATCCATCTTAAAGCTACTTCACAGAATGGTATTACTTGAAAGTGTTATAAATACACTGTCTGATGCCTGAGACATTGTTTTATGATAGTTCTGATGAGGTTTTGATTTTAAAATGTATAAAATAAAGTATATTCAGGGTGGAGAGATAAATGCAGGACATTGTAAAGCAAAATGCTTTTCAGGTTTACCACTATTTTACCATTATTAATATTATGTCTAAAACCTCAGAAGACATAGTAAGGTTCACTGCTCATTTCTATTGCAAATGAAATTGCTATATTTGCATTGTGGACATCACAACTCCTGGTTCCTATCACCACCACTGTAAAGAATTGATTACCTGATTAAATTATGCAGAAATCTTGGAAAATAAGTGAAATTGCACTTTAAATATGGGCTTTTATAGTTGTTTATAAAAAACACATTGATTAGCACTATTATATTATTTTCCTAAATTATGGCTACTACAACCACAACACAGAGTATCAGTATAAGCGGTGTGTGCAACACTGAAACTTCAAACAGCAAAAAAAAACCCTTAACATGGTCAGAAATTCTACCGTGTAGGTGGTCGCAGGCTGAGGTCTAAACTGTTTTCCTCCGCTCTGATATTTCTGGTCTGGATTTGCAGGAATATTTATGATTGGGATCCTTTCTGCAGCATTCCCAGTGGGCGACCTGCCCGGATCCTTTCCGGTTCTGCCCAACAGGACAGAAAGGCAGGCGTAAGACGTGTGGAGAAGAAAGGCAACACAACAGACTGAGTGTATGCTGAACAAATGCAGCTACATGGAATGCTTGCTGTGCTGCTACTGCACCTCCACAGAAGAAAGGCTAGCTCTTTTTCACAAATGCCCAACTCTCTGTGTGTGGAAACTCACATATGGTTGAGTGGAGAGTCTGGCATGTAAGAAAACTCAGCAGTTCAATTACTTGGTTCTTAGACAGCCCAAACTCAGGCTTCAGCATTCTGGACCAAACGTATAGGCCAGTTCTCCATCTCCAGTCTTTTAGCATGACATAACCACATCTCAGCACTACAGCACATGTTTGCTTTTTGGTTTACTCATTTATCTCACAGTTGCACTGGAGTGATGTATAAATTAATATAACTGAATATATTCATATCTTCAAATGCATGCACGTCATCACTGTAGTGGCAAAGCCTTGTGTGTCAATGTACAGTACTGTGCAAACAACAGAGGCCTTATTTATTTAATCTCCAGTCAAAAGGATAAAAGCTGAAAACATTTAACAGAGAATTAGACAGAAGACTGAACGACTAAATATAATTTCTCAATGTTTAGTACTTGGTGTGTCCACCCTTTGTGTTTATTACAGCTTCCGTTCTTTTCATGAGATTTGCTTTCAGTTTTTAAAAGAAATCTGCAGGGATATTTTTCCATACCTCCAAAGTTCAGTTTTAGAAGTAGGTTGCATTTGCCTCTACTCACAATCCAGTTCATTTCAAACATATTCAGTGATATTGAGGTCTAGATTTTGGAGTGGTCAGTCTATTGTTCTGAGAACACCAGCATATTTATGGTTGGATTTGTCTATTTCCTTTTCTCAGTTACAGTTTTTGACAGCTATACATCCTTTCAGAACAATAGCATTGAGTTTTCTTCTCACAGTGGAAGGATGGACAGAAATGCCTGTGGGTTTTTTCAGATCTGAAGCAAGAGTGGAGCTTGATTTTCTCCTCTCTCTCAAAGATGAAAGTACTAGTGATGGTGATGGTGACAGTACTGGTGGTCTAGCAGGTCTTGCATGAATGTTAGGTGTTCCATTTTCTCTACATCTTTCATTAACTTTTTGAGCTCCAGTTTGTCTTAGAAGTTGGTTGCATTTTCTGCTTTTTTACAATCCAAATTACAGTTATCATAATTACAAATTTAGATTTATCAGCCCATAAAATGTTACTACACATATCAGATGTCCAGTTTCAGGGTTCTGCTGCACATTTTTGATCCTTTTTTGTCTATGTCCTTACTCACTACTTAACAGCTACACATCCTTTCAGACTCACAATGGAAGGATTGACAGATTTTTTTCAGATCTGAAGCAAGAATAGAGCTTGTTTTTTTTTCCCTCTCAAAGATGAAAGCTTTAAGTGCTGTTTATCTCATGATAACAGATTTGGTGGTCTACCAGGTCTTGCATGGTTTGCATTGTTAGGAGTCCCATTTTCTCGCCATCTTTTAGTAATTTTGGAAACTCCTGTTTTTCACTTATTTTCCTTTGACTTTCCCCTTCTTTTTGCAAGTGGATTATCTTAGAAAGAGATGTTTGCACAATACTGTATGTTAATGTATGGTTATTTACAAGTAATCTAGAACTACCTCCATTCAGCCCATTCATCACGAAATGTTCACACAATGCACAGGCAACTGGCATTTTCAAATAGTGGAAGAGAAGAAAATACAAAAATGATGCTGATGCTAAATTCAGATTATGCACAGCGAATCTGTGTCTCAGAATCTTCAGATTTTTTTTAACAAGTGAATAAAATGAATCACAGTATATCAGCTCAACCAGAGTGTGAAAATTTGGTATAGTGTGAAAAACAGTGTCAACCTCTTCGTACAAGCGCAAGGCCAGGTGTAACCTGCCTAACTCCAACCAAACCCCTCCACTATATTGCTGCAATCCCCCCTTCCTGCCTCAGATCCCCACGAAATGGTGCCCTGATTTTTCAGTGAGGGCAAAAACCCATCTACGGGGCAATTTCAGAAGTATGTTGCAAACACCGGCCTAATCCTTCCAAGGCAGAGATGGGTCCTCTCTCTATCCTTGAGGATTTCTCCCTCCCCTGCCGCTTCTCCCATCCCTCTCTTCATCTCGCAGGGATTAGCCGGCGGCAGCAGGCAGAGGGCCGCCACATCCCTCTGGCCTGCTGGAATATGAAAAGCTGGATAAGTGTTGGGAGAAATAAATCTTATTCACTCTTCCTTCCTCTCCTCGCGTCGAACGTGGAGAATAAGATCCGTTTCGTTATGTCCCTGTGCCTCACACGTTTATTGAATTTCTTCTGATCTTGATAGAGTGCCGATGTTAAAGTGAGAGAGGAAATGAAGTCGCCCCTCTAGATGATTTAGGCCAGCCCGATTGTCGTTGAGATTGTCGTTGAGATTTGATTTGGTGGATTCTTCCTCTCCCTGAGCAGGCTATTACATGTCTTTAAACTCTTAATACCAACTGTAATTGTCTAATTGGGTAGAATTTCCGTTTTGACTGACACTCTGTGTTTATGGTGGTGAATTAAAGAGCATAACTAGGTTAATGTGTCTGTTAGTACGCCACATTTCCTTTTGACTGGGGCTATTTTTGGGCCACTAGCAGCAGGGACAGGCCTTTGCGTCAGAACAGAGGTGCATTCTGATTTAAATACGTTTTGCTCCCAAAAAACATCTGTTGCCCGGGAGCCATAACTCAGGCTGACACTAAAGAGGAGCTGTGTGTTTTGTCTGGCCGGTGGCAGTATTATTTTAGTCTGCAGAGGAAAGGGCCGGGAGTGAGCTCGAAGGCTGAGCGGCTTGTTTGCGCGGGCACTGGGCTTTGAGGCAGCTGGATGTTGAAACATTGGGACTTGTCAGGCAGTGAGGATGGTTTACATTCCTGGTAAGTGTCCTTCGGTCTTGGAATGTGCACATGGAGAAGAGCACATATGGACTGGTCTAAAACAACCCAGCTTACAATAATACTCAGCATAGGGCCTTTCGCATTGCACTGTTTATACTGTCTGTCTGTCTGTTGCTGCGTCCATCTGTCAGTGCCACCTTCCATCCTATAGCTGTGGAAGAAATGAGGGAGGAGAGCCTGATCTGTGTGAATACATGATGGTACCAAGTTTAGACAACTGCTCTGTCTCCCACTGTTCCTATATCATTACTATCATGCTTCTCTTTCTAGTGCTTCTCTTTAGGTATGAGCTGTATAGCTGAACCGTTTTCCCACCCAGACATGGAATTGTGTGCATTCCCACATAATAAAGATTTTTATTTTATTCTGAAATACCCCACAAATGAATCTGCCCCTCCAAGGATTACAGACAGACGGAGAGAGTAATATCAGCAGTGTGTGCTTTTACCGTAAATGTAATAACAACTGAGTTTGAGGGCTAGTATCCTGCTGAGATTTCACCTCTCATAGAACAACTATAGTTACACACTGTTTCACTGCAACAGGTTCTTAGCCAGTCTGCAAGCCACACTGTAAATATTAGTTCAACTCTGTGTGTGTTAAATAATAATGAAGAGCATAATCTGTATACAGTGTGCATAGTTTATTTATACTACACAAAAAACAAACAACTGAAAAATAGGCTAGATTTGCTGTAGACCTTCATACGGGAGAGTTTTTCTAGAATCACTGACCGTTTGTTTTTCTTTGTTTATGTATGCATGTATAGGTGGGTGATCATACCAGAAAGAAGCGTCAGAGTGAATGAGAGACAAAGAAAGAGACAAACAGTGATGCAGGGAAGTGCAGAGGGAGGTTGATGATGCAATGTTGGGGAGGCAGGCATGAGAGAAAGAGAATGCTGGAGAGGCATTGTGTTAGACCCGTCACAATCATGACATTTTAGATGATCATTTTTTAACATATAAATAATGATGCTTAAATGTTTGTCTTTTTTCTGAATGTATGCCACTCTGGTCCATATACTACATTTCTCTTGTAAGGTCCACTTACGGTGTTTGTGTGGTTTTGTATACCAAAACAGTCATGAGTCAACACATCAGTACCTTTTCGTACTAAACCCTTCAATTGAAAGAAATGATAAAATTAAAATGCGATAAATTTGATTTTCCTTGATATGGGCTCTTTAAGTGCAAACCTAAAGTGACCAAATTAATTGGCTGATTAATTATTTTGATTTCCAATTTATCAATGCTTAGCTCCCAACTGATCACAGAAACATTTCAAGCTCAAATAAACAAACAGTACTCACTGCTGCCCTCTAAAGCTCAGCTAGCACAAAGTCAGCTTTTACAACTTTTATCGTTTTTGTAAGATCCATAACGGATGAATTTGCACCCACTTCACATTCTGTTTGTTGCAACATTAGCCTATAATTGTGGAAGCTAACGACTATGGTAAATAATTGCAATCAGCTAAAATACTGGCGACTAGGCAATTATGTAGTAATTGCAACAGGCCTGTATAACATGATGTTTTAAAGTGCTACTTGCCTCACACTTGTTCTGCTTCTCCACAGTGCAAGCGCCTGGAACAGGAGCTTCTTCAGTCCAGAGAGCCAAGCCAGACCAGCAGCGTCCGCCAACTGGCCACTCCAAACAATCAGGAACGGGTGCGCAAGGTAACAACACCAATAACACCAACACTTACGAATGTGTCTTCCTTGGTATGAAGAGCAGGTTTTTTTTCTAAATAATGATTTCACACTTTTCTTTTCCTAACTAGTAGTAAAAACACACATTGAAACTCTTTTGCCCCAAAGGTGGTTTAATGTCAATATCCCTCAGATTAGTCCTTTCCTTACATGCACTGGGGACACCTAGCTCCCCAGAAATGTTTTCAATTCAGATAAACATGTTTCCCATAACAAAACAAATCCTATTTAGGTTTGTTTTGAGAAACAACAGTAATACACATGCAAATATTTGTGACTATATTTGTGACTGTACTTCTTTGGGAATAATACCAAAAGCTCTGCACGTTTTATTCTCTTGTGATGTCAGCACTCAAACATTTTGGCTGTTTATCACTTTTAGTATAAAACATTTTCACTGTGTGCTTTTAACAATAGTTGCAATGGAAAACAATGAAAAAGAATTGCTATTTAGGCAAAATTTACTCTTTATAGCAAAGAAGACTCTTTCTTGAAAATGAAGCTGAAGTGTTGCAAAATACCCTCATGATATGACGGAAAAAGAGGGTAAAAAACACATTCTTTTAACAAAAAAAAGAACAAAACAAAAAAAAAGCACACACAAACATTAATTTAAAGAAAGCATGGTGTCCCCAAACTTTTGACAAGCAGTATATGCAGAATACAGTGCACTTGTTACACAAGCACAGTGGGACTGTTTGCCAACAGCCCTGCCTTTAAAGGTGGTCCTCCATAACCCAGATTCTCCCCCTAAACGCTGACCCCCTCAATCATCAGCCCATTAACCAATCAACCCTATCATTTATTAACTGCTATTGACTGAGAGCCAGACCTGCAGTGATTAACGGCAGCGGGGTGGTGGCGTGAGGCCGTGTTACACACGGTCTGAAAATGACAGGGGCGGTCATCGGGCCGCGATGCCTCGTCTCAGGCCTGTTGGGGTGGAGCGGGGCAAACACAAGCCTGTTTGATTTGCTGTATTTATCTGATGCAGCCGGAGCCCTTGAGTTTAATGCAGAGTGCTGTAAAAGGACCGTCATTAGATAGAGCTGAGTAAACACACTCTCAGAGAGAGAGAAAGAGAGAGAGAGAGAGGACACTTCAGTCAGAGAGCTGAGTCAGGGCCCTGACCTGGACCACTACTCCACACACCACCCACCACACACGCGCACACACACAGACCAATTTCACACTAACCCCCTAACATGAACACATTTTATGATGCATCTGTTTACCACGTTCTCCTGAACAATCCTCAGTGATCTCAGAGAGACCTGTGGGGCAAATTGTAACGTTGAATTTTCATAATGTACACAATACTAATTCATGTTTACACTAAATTACTGGATTATAAATCACATTGTAAAGCAAGTGTGACTAATTTGTTCCTCAATGTATATATACCTCTAAACAATCATAAATATTGAACTAAAAATTGTTTTTTTTAAAGGTATAGTACTGTGCGAAAGTCAGAGACCACCCATGATTTATTTAATTTCCACTCAAAACAGCCATTACATACAAGTTATTCATTTTTCGTGAGATATTTCTGAAGAGATTAGATATAGGATAATCCACTTGCATTAAGAAAGGGAAAGACAAAGAAAAAGAAATGGGAAAAATAGGAGTTTCCAAAAGTGGAGTTGACAGGTTGTGTGACTGTGGGACTCCTAACAACCATGCGAGACCTGGTAGACCACCAAAACTGTAAAGCTTTCATCTTTGGGAGAGAAGAGAAAATCAAGCTCCACTCTTGCTTCGGATCTGAAAAAGTCCGCAGTTGTTTCTTTCTATCTTTCCACTGTGAGAAGACAAATCAGTACTATAGGTTTGACAGGATGTGCAGCTGTAAAGAACCTATTACTGAGAAAAGAAAATAGACAAAAGAAAATAAATTTTGCAAATCAATCAAAGAAGCTGGTCAGAGCAATGGACCACCCCAGAGTCCAGACCTCAACGTCACTGACTGAGTTTGGAATTATTTGGAATGTGAGAAGTAGAAAATACAACCAACTTGTAAGACTGAACTTTGGAGGTGTGGAAAAATATTCCTGCAGATCTTCTTTGCAAAACTGAAACAAGTCTCCTGAAAGTGATGGAAGCTGTAATTAAGGCAAAAGCTGGACACACTAATCGCTGAAAACTTCTATTATATTAGGTTGTTGATGCTTCTGTATATTTTTGTTTTTTTCTGCTTTTTTAAATGTTTTTTGCTATTTCCCCTGGTGCTGAAACGTGAATAACTTATGCTTAGTGGATGTTTTGACTGGAAATAAATGTAATAAATGAAGGGTGGTGTTCACTTTCATGGTTTAATGGTGCAGTGTTCTCTTTTATGTTGCTAATTGGGTTTTTTTTTCCTTTTGTACACATAGGTAAGACACTATAGTTTTTCATAGTTTTTCATGCAGAGTAATCATCCTGTATTTGCTCATAAATGTTGTTGCATTTCTAGATTATTTCTTGGTGGTAGCGAGACAATCTGTAAAAGTGATAAGACTGAAATTAATACTTGTAATCATTTCCACAACAATGTGATAGTGCAGAGTAGAAACACTGCATATTTGTTGTGACTGATCAAGCTAGGACTCATGTTTTACTGTTAAAATGTATGTATATAATACCGATAAAGCGGATAATCGGAAAGATAGTCCAGTTCAAGTTTCCTGTCAAAGCCTTCCAGCGACTTCCAGCATTTTCTGTTCTACAATTAAGATGGTTTGACTGATGGCTTATTAGGAAATATATTAAATTTTGTTATTAATGTAGCGCTTGGTTTTTTTCTATAAATCCCCTTAATTACAGATTGACTCCTGGGATTACAGAGTGGGGTTTTTAATTTAAAATGAAATGGGAACAGCTGTTGAAAAATTACTCAACAGTGCTGGGAACATATCCACAAAACAATTTAAAAATGAACAGGACTTCCATTTATCGACTGACATTTTACTTTAAAGAAATCGCAGTAAAGCTGTAGGGGAAAAATGAATAGAGTAAAAATGTTGTACAAAAGACTCATTTCTAAATCTTTATATCAAACTTGGAGCGCATAAGCTTTTAGAGATTTATTCAGGGGGAAAATTAATTGCTAGGCTTTTAACTGCCACTCATATTTTTGAGACTGAGAAAGTTAACTGGTATTTTTTAATCATGGAGGAAAAAATGTATGAAATTGGACAGATGCCACAGATAAAGGAAAGCATTGGTATATATTTGGTATATATTATACCATAGTTCACAAAGTAAGCAGAGCACTTGCCCAGTTTGAGTGTGAAAGTCTCTTTTTGCGCTAGATGTGATCAGAAAGCCGGGCTTTTCCCCGTCTTATCTCTACAGCCCATCTCTGCCTCACCTGAGCCCTGAGAAAGAACCTGTTCAGCAGCCATTTCATACACCTTCACCAAGCGGATCTGAGGAGTGTGTGTGTGAGAGAGAGGGGGTTTAGGGTGCTCTAAATGCCTGGGCTGGAGTGCTGGTGTGGGGGTTGAGGATGGGGTTAGGCTGTAGAGGTCAGTTGAAGCAGGCTGTTGTTGAGGGCTCTTGCCCTAGCCCTGAACCACCTGTGTTTGCTCTGCAGCTTTTCTCTCTGAGCACTGACGGCCACACAGTGATCACACAAGCCTGCCCCTGTTCCCAAGCCGCTAACGCATTAAATCATTATTGCTGCTTCCTCTAACCCCTCCGAACCCGACCACCCGCCCTTCTGAACTGGACCCTTCTCCTAAACACATATGAACACACACAAATTACACTTGTTTTGATCATATTTGAGTAGTAGTTTAGTAATTGAGTAGTCTAATGATTATTATAATGGTTGAGTAATTTTTGTTTAAACCAAACAGTAAAAATAGACTTAACTGAACGCTAACAAGCCATGCGTAGTTTTTCAAAGATGTGAAATACTTTAAGATAAGATAGGAGGCTTTTATAAAAACTTCATTTAAAAAAATACTATGTGGAGTCATATGAAGAGTGTGGATACTCATGGTCAAATTACATGTTTTGTCGATTTTTAAGTAAAAACAGGTTAAATCAAATCAAATCAAATTTATTTGTATAGCGCTTTTTACAACTGATGTTGTCACAAAGCAGCTTCACAGAAATCCGTTTAGAACAAAACACATCCTCTACAGAGAACAGAATATGGCCTACATTTATCACACAATTTTTATTTATTTGTAGAGCTTAATGTATTGGGGAGATACATTTTCTGTAACCTTTGTACAGACTGCATTTTATGTTTCATTTTTCCCCATTATGTTAAATTCAGCAAATAAGCAGTAAATGTGCACTTAATTGTGCAGAAATGTGTTCTTTGTAGAGGATGTGTTAACTTACTAAAATCAACAAAGCGTCGTATGACCTGGAGTCCTCAAACTTTTGCATGCAATTGTAAAAATACTATGTAGGAAATGTAACGGTGTGTCCATCAGGTTCTGTTTATTTCTGTAACAGAGAGCAGAATGAGGATTTAAAATGTTAAATATAATCATAGAAATTGACAACTAATCTTTGATTTATTCATGATTTATAGAAGGCAATTTTTAAGATGAGATTTTTTTTATATGAGTAATTGAGTTTAACCATGACAGCTTTTCACCATATTAGATAAAATAGTACATGTTCTTGGTTTTAGTGAGGCATTTTTGTTGTCTGCTCTTTTCACTGTTAAATGTAAATCAGTGTTGACAGAAGGCAGTGCTAAAGAACGACTGTGTTAATGCAGTACTCCTAACATCTTGGTGTGCTCTTCATATAGGAGCTCTATTTTGTGCTTTCTGCTGCTCTGTAAGCTCATCAAGCTCTTGCTATGTTCCGTGTGCTTTAAATCAGCCCTGGTGAGGGGAGCTGCATTAGTGAGTGCAGTTGACAGTAGGGAGGTACGTTCTGACTGATTTTGATATTCAAGTGTCCGTAAGAGTTAACAAACAGATATTTGGTTAACTTCGGGGGAGAAAATCACACTCTTAAGAACAACAAATGTGAGGAACAACAATGAGAATGTGAGGAACCTTTTTTTATAGTTGAAACAACTTTCACATAATGTAATGGTTCAATACCAATTAAACATTTTTCATAGATTCATAGGTTGGTATGCCTCAGCCACAGATATGTAGAAATGCTTATTTTAAAAAGTATCATACTTCAGTAGTGTGTGCTAAAAAAACACATCATAAAAATAATGTTCTCACCACGGTTAAATCTTAAATATTCTTAATAAGTAAATGTTAAAGATGTAAACAAAGTCATGTGGGCTGATGTGAAATACTCCATTTTAAAGAAACTAACTGAATCAGAATTGTTCACAGCGGTCATAGGAACCAGACATTTGTAAAAGCTCCCTCACAGGAAACTATTACATGAAATGCTTACAAATACGGTGCCTGATGCCTGAGATTGTTCTGTGATAGTGTTGAGAAGGTTTATTTTTACATTTTTCTAAAAACATTATAGGTTGAGAATTACATGCAGGGTGTGGTAGAGCAAAAATGGTCCCAAAGGAAAACTTACTTTATCAGATATATACCATTATTATACCATAATCATTCAATGTTATGTATGAAATCTCTGGACACACATACAGGTTCACTGGTCATTTTGGATAGTAAATAAAATGGTTGTTATTGCAGAGTAGACATCAGACATCATCTTGCATGTTTAAGCTGGAGCAGTGAAGAGTATTATTGACTTTTGCTTAGGTGTGTGTCTTGCTTTTACAGGACCAAGCAATTGTATAGAATGTTCAGTGTTACATAATTGAGCTGATTGAAATGCTGGGGCAAGTTTGGTGTTGCATGACTTGCGCATCATGGCAGTGTTGCTCTCCATGTGATGGTTACCCAAAGAGTAATATGAGTATTTGTACACAGATTCCTGGTTAACTAATTATCCGCGCACAGCCCTAGTTGACAGCTCTGTTGTTAGGCACCTTCACTACTCCTGGGCTCTCGGAGGCTCTTGTGTTGTATCTGTAGATCTGTAGGTCTGTGAGTGTTTTGGCTTTATCAGGTGATTAAGTAATTGAGAATGCAGAAGAAATTGTATTTTAATGCCTCATTCAACAGCTCATTCCTATATTTGAATCACTTTGGAGCAAAATGGTTTGAGTAAGTGTCAGAACCTTCAGTCACAGAAAAGTGAAGGCACATTGAATCAGTGCTCCTCTTGGTTTGTTCATAAACAGTTGCAGGGCAGAGTGCATCAATGCTGATAGTGTATGTGTGTGTGTCACTGCTGTCTCTCCCCACTGGGGCAGAAAGGCCACGCTCTGACGGCCTGCCACCGCTCAGCCCAGCACTGCCCTACCCAGCACCCTCTCCTAAAGGTCGAGGCAGCCACTCTCTTTTCCACAGCTTAATCTCTCCAGGTTAATACGCTACTCGATGGACCTCATTTGGATAATATTATAATGAAAGCTGATAAAATACATATGATTAAAAGAATCAGGCTTTGAAGTCGAGCTCCGCTCCCTGTTGGAGAAAAGTACATATTGACTTTAGAGGTTAGCCTCTTTTTGATGTTCTCTTTGACTTGCGAGACCTGCACTCCAGTAATTAGAATGATTGGGCTGCACCAGCGGAAGCTGCATGCACTTAGGGCAAAGGTGTTTATAGCAGTCACCATACAGCCGTGCCTGCTTTTGCCATCTTTGCTGTGCATCTGAGTGGAAAGAAAACAAACTCGATTGTATTTACACAGAAGGTGAATCTAACTGTCTTTTTTTTTTTCGCTTTTCAGAAAGAATGTGGCTAAGAACTGTGGCTTTAACAACAAAACAGTGTGATGTAGCAGATATGGAACGAAGCTGCAAGAACAAGCACGTTTTGAATTTGTTGTTCACGGTAGAGTTATAATGAATGTTTCAGTTTGGAAATACACAACAGCCAATGAGAGTGGAGCTCATTTACATATGTCTTAAAGGTACAGTAACGGAAACAGCCTATCAAGTCAAAGAGACAAAAATAGGTTGGTGAATGGTCATGTAAAAATAATTATGACTGTTTTCAGTATGTAAACCTACATGAAAAGTGGACTTGGGTTGGGGGGATAAAATATAAGAAAAGCGTGTAATAAGGTATAATCATTTTATTTATATATTAAAGTCCTACTAAGAAAGTCTATTCACAAAAGCATTGCAAGTTAAGCTCAAAAACTGTATCACTCTGCAGTGCAAGATACAGTCCTCCATTAGTGAAGATAAGGCATAGGCAGCCCAATTCACCCATTCCACACCATGGGGAGCCTTTAAATCTAACCTCTGTCATAAGACACAGTACAGCTCTGACTCCAGCTGCATAAAAGCCATAAAAAATACAACACGATTCCAACACTCGCCCCAAAGCAAGTGGTAACTGTGATCACACTCCCCCTTTACCCTACTCTATCTTATGTATCTCTTCCTCCCTATCTCTTCTTCACATTGTAGGGTTTGTGAATTGATTGCAGGCTTTTACAGTAGGCCAGGTTGTTGTGTTTGTTTAGATGACCTCCATTGTCTGCGTGTCCTCTCCCAGCTGTTGAGAGGGTAACATCAACAATAGATCTGTTTCAACGGCTGGTCATTAGCAGAAGCTTTACTGCTGGTCAGGTTTAAGCACAGAAAGGCCAGGGACAGTGTTTACCCAGCCTCGCCTGCAACACATCGGGTCCCAGGCCTGCCTCTGTCACCCAGCATGCTGCCTCTAAATAGGTGCTGAGAGGGAAGACAATGGAGTGAATTGGATCCCCCTTGGAGTGAGTTCCTCACCGTGTGTGAGGGGAAAAAGAATGACTGAGAGACTCACGCTGTGTGTGTGTTTCTGGTGGGGGGGGTTACAGTCTGGTAGCTCAGTTGAGTTCTAGTGTTCTGCCACAGTAAGCAGTTAAAATTGGCTGTTGAGATAAGGGTGTAATCAAATTACACATCCATAAACATGGAATGGTAGCTATTATCAGTCAGACAATTGCCCTTATTTGCCACTGATAAGTCTTCATGTATATACAATAACATTCAGTTATGCTTTGGACCTGGTATTAGTGATCAGCAGTATATGTTATCATATACAAACCATGATAACCGGTCAAGTGTTCTTATTGACCATTTGTTTTTTATGTGTAATAGTGAAAATAAGTTAATACATCTGTAGAGAACACATTTGTGCACATTTTAATGCAAAATAACTTTATATGGTGAATTTAACAAATTGGGGGGGGGGGCACAAAATGCTGTGCAAGTTATGACATTTTATATTTTATCCTGTTTTTTTCAATATGCCAAACTTAGCAAATTAATAGAAATTGTGCAGTAAAAGTGCAGTGGTCACTTTTGCATACAACTGTATTTCTAATTATAAAATGCAACTCTATCACTTCTGTGTACTGTATTAAAGAGCCCATATTATCAAAACTTCTATTATCCTCACCTTGTTGAAATAAAAGAATCTGATGGAAGCACTGTTCATTCACGATGAAGTTATAAGGATTGCTTCAGGAGTCTACACTGTGTTCTGAATTAGGCACAATATGGAATAGCCAATCAGAACAGAGTTCATTTGCATGTATCAGTCTTAAAGGTAGTGATATGTGCTGTGATTTAATTTAAAGCCACAGAGACTAATGGTAATGTTAATTCAGTGTGAACTAACCGTTTAGGTGAGAGCACATTATGTTCAGTTTCATCTCTTGTCATACCTAGACATAGAACCATTTAGAACCAAGACATAAAATAATAATCTCTACAAATCCTATTTAGTATTATCATTCAACTGAGTCCTCCTTAAAAGTGAAACCTCATTTGGGCTGAGGCCAAAAAAGGCTCCAAACAAGTTGAACAATAAATATTTTCCTCTCTCTTCTTCTCTCATTACCATACACTTTGCCAAATGGTATTGATAAAAAAAAACATTAAAACATGATGCTATAATATATAAAGCTTTAATTTCCAGCTATTAATTTCAGTGCGTCATCAGATGTACACAAGAATAAGACTCATGTAATCAGTATTATTGTATGCATTAGCAACAGAAGCGCAAGTCATTTAGATTAGAGAGAGCTAAATCCTGTATGTGCTGATGTAGAGAATGTGAAAGTTTTGGGAACTTGCTTCAAATGTAAGAGTTCCAAATTAATTGAAATGTTCAAGATTATCTCACTAATTACTACCATCACTAATTAAAGGCACAGTAACTAAAGCAGGTTATTTAATACTGAAGGATAAGGGTTGGAAAACGGTCATGTAAAAATGAATGATAATTGTTTCTGGTATATATATATATTCACACTAATGTCATAAGAGGACTGTAGAGAAAGAAATAGGATACTAGAAAAATGTAAGACATGGGCATTTTCAATAGTGTTCTGGTGTTCTGTGTGTAGATCCAGGTGGAGTTGCAGGCTACCCAGAGAGAGCGGGATATGGCTGTGGAGCTCAATCGCAAACTCGAGGCGGAGCTCCAATCTATACGCAGGTACCACAGGTGGACCATCCCACCTCACATTGCACAGACACAGGGCAAACATTCAGCATGTTTACTTCACAAAGCGAGACTGATTTAGTAGACTTAATGTAATTTCACCCAACAAACCATATGATAAGAGCTAGACTAAGCCTGATTTACCCAAACAAGGTTGGCCTTTAATGCCATTGTAATTTTTATAAAAGAAACATAAAACATTATGCATTTATATAAAGTCCTACTCGCATCTCAGTGTGTAGTAGTTTTTTTTTTTTTTATAAATACACATCTCTCAAACAATCCTCCCAGTGGAAATAAAGTTACATATACCTGTGACTTCCCTTTCTCTATTACACTTGCTTGCTCTTTCTTTTATTCTGGGTTTTTTGTTTGTTCACTCTCTCTTGCACGCACTCTCTCTCTCCTTCTCTTGCACGCACTCTCTCTCTCTCTCCCTCCCTCATTCTCTCTCTCTCTTTCTCTCTCATTCTCTCTCACTCTCTCATATTCTCATTCCCTCTCTCTGTTTCTCCCGCTCTCTCACTCTCACTCCTGAAAGAGTCAGCTCGTAGAGTGCTCTCCATTTTAACTTCTTAATAAAGAGCCCCTCATGGTACCTCCCACCATCACTATGCCCCTTATTAAAGCAGGCAGGAAACATTTATTGAGCTAGCTCAGCACTCCAGTCTAAGAACAGATAATAAATGCTAAAACTAGTTCTCATATGCATTGTGTGCTTTGGACTGATAGGAAACACATCCAAAATAGGCGAGGCTGATCATTTCCATGATATTCATGATTTGAAAGTATGAAGCGCATTTGAAGATCTCACCTCCACACTTAAAAATGAAGGTTTCTGAATGGTTCTTGGCTTGAAGCTTTGTATGATGATGGAGGTTCTTTAAACCTCACATATCTCATTTACAAAAATGGTTCTGTCACTAAAAGGTTCTATTGGGAACCAAAGGTTTTTCGATGTCATTGCTAAAATATTCCTTTCTGAGATTCTTTATTTTCAAGAGTGTTTTGCAGTGCCCCTCGTATTCTTCTGTGGACTGTCTGTCCATTTGAAGGGCAGGGATTTTTATTATTGTTTTGTGCTGGGGTATTGGAAACTCCTGAGGTATTGACCACAGACATTTCACCACTGCCTAACGTCAGATTGTTTTGGCCCCTGATGCAGCCCAGTGCTTATTTAAGACTTCTGTATCTCTACAACAGAACCATGCAGTTTTTGTCTAGAATGGGTGTGGTGAGCTGTGATGGACTCCCACATGCCTGGCTTTTCTGTCAATAAACGCAGGAGCGATGTATGATAAACTGTATATATGTGGTTTATCTGTCAGTCAGTTGAAGCTTGATGGAAGATACTGTATAAATACATTTGGCTCATAAACTGGTCTTTCTGGTTTGAGAAGCTGTATCCTGTTACGGATGGAGGAGACATCCGTCTACTTCAAGGATCCTGCGTACGTTTTTGACTCTGTGTACGTGTGTGTGTCATCTTGCATGCACACGAGACTATGGATAGCACTTGGAGCAAAAAGCTCTGGGGGAAGAGGGCGAAGACTGGCAGTTCCCGCAGTCTGCCTGTGCTAGAGGAGGAGAAGACAGACATTGTATTCAGCTAGACAATCTGCATTGTGTGGGAGACAGGGGGTCCAGTCCTGCTCCCAGTCCCTATCAATGTGGCTTTGGAGCTGGACCTTTAAAGGGGAGAATCCTCTAGGCCCAACAAAGGCCAGAAGATGGCTGTGCGTGTTTGCTCTCAGGATTGCCCGGCCAGCTCCATTGTGTCTTCTAGGATAACAGACAGTCTGAGTCAGATGAAAGGCCAGGGAACAGACGAGTATGAGTGAGATGGACAGGACAGGGAGGGCAGAGTGCTCTGCTGTAGGGGTGTAACGATACATTTATGTACAGGTTTTGAGGTCAAGAATCGATTTATTTTTCTGTATTTTATGTATTAAAATGTCTTTAATTCGTCATAATTCTGTGCTACACAGATTGGTTCAGCTTTGCCAGCCCACTAACAACACTAATAATCACCACACTTTACAACCTTTGGAATAGGGGTGAGCAAACCAAAGTGCAGTGGGGCCAAAAAGACAAAACCATATGCAAATAAAATGGTAGGCAAGTTTTAGAAATGTGTTTTATAAAATTGCACTATATTTTGTTAAAAAATTATTCAGAATAAAATATTAAAAGGAAAACAAGAACTTAATAAGTAATATAGTATACAAATATGTTTCTCTTATTGGGTGAGGGGGTGGGTTTAGGGTAACTTTGTGGTCTGATAAGACAATATTCCTAGTTTAAATCATTGACCGTGGCAAATGAGAGACCCTCAGAAGAGACTATATCAGTGATAGTTTTTCAAATTTCCATGCACTTTTGTACGTTTTAAATGTTCGTTTTTGATACTGTAACAAAATCATTACACCCAGTACACTGCTGTGAACTAGTTGCTGGCAATATGATATTTTTTTGTCATTGTGATAATTTTATTGTGATAAACAGTACGCTTTTCTGAGTGCATTGTGGATGTCGTTAGTACTTAATGAACATTGATACACTGCATGTTTTATTACAAAGAGAGTGTGGTTAGTCCTGTTTAACAGGATTAAGTGCAGTGCAGTGTATGCAACATTAAAAATTATAATAAACGTCATTCTGTTCATAGTTTTTGATGGTTGTTTTTAAATGCAGCACTACTAGAACCTTCTGTCTGTGAGTCAGAATATTGTGATATATATCATGAAAATGCCTTGAAGTATTGTGAGATCATGTTTTTACCATATCAACCACCATTACTTTGAACCCTGTGCTGTAGTGTCTCCATCTCCTAAATGTGGAGCCTAACTCAGCTCCCTGTAGGTTGAGAACAGCACTGAGGCTGGGGCGAGTTGCTTTAATGGGTTGTCGTTGGCTGGCCTGTGCAGGGAAAGGCAGACTTTGTGTAAGTATAAGGTGCTTTCTTTGAGTGTAATCCAGTTGCAGAGGGAGTCCAAGCTGGGAAGGACATGGATTAACACCCTGGTCCCCATACAGCCCAGCTCCCCAGAGATCTCTCATTATCAGAGAGATAAACAGCCCTGCCTGTCAACCCCTCAGCTCAGCAGACGTTAGCCTATACAGTGGACATTAAAGCTGTGACATGTGATTTTAAAAAGAATCAAGGAATTATTTGGGAGCTCGCTGGCCCACAACTGACTGTGGCAAAGTCTCTGCTTTGTTTAATTTAAACTCGCCTCTCAGAAGGCTGATTATCTTATGGCGGTTATTTAAACTCACTTCTATCGTACATTTTATTCAAAGCCTGATTTGAATGTTATCGTAAATCTAAAGAAAGTCTCTGATACTTATTGCACGGTGTTAATAATTACATATCGACCTGGTAGGCCAGACTGTCTTTGGTGGTTAGTTGTGGAAGATAGTGACTGTTGATTTTATGTATGTGTAACAAGGTGTAGTCAGAGCATACATCGACGTAGCCTCTCGCACCTCTGGATTTGTTTTGCTTGACATTCTGTGCTGCAAAATACATTTTGTGGATAGTCTGCAATGCTTCTCAGCAAGCGAGCACCACCGAGGAGAAAAATATCAGGAAACTAATTCAAAACGCACAGCAGTGTCTCTGCCTTCCCCCAACCCAAAATGAACAGCCCTTAAATTTTATTAGCAGGTGGAACACCAATAGTAAAGGCGCGTGTGACACGTTTGGGTTACAAATGTGCGCTTGAGAAAACGTCAAGGCCTTTATCAAAGCTCCATCAACATTTTGGAGTCATGTATTGCTGATGAGGAGGGGCTGAAGGTGGGGTGTGGTTGCTTGTTGCTTTCTGCCCGGTGTAGGTTGCTGTGGATACCTGGCCTTAAAGAGGCGGTTCTCTCTCTCTCTCTCTCTCTCTCTACCCGCACTCACTTCTCTGTATTTTGTTGCTGCAGGTCCGTCTCTGTTGAAAGGCTATTTTACATATCCTCTTTAATAGTATGTCGTGGTAGCGTTAATGTTTAACTCCCCTACTCAGGTAGAGAGGCAGGTTCATTGGGATCCAGCCTCTGTGATTAGTTATCTTATGATTCTGGTTAATGTTTTACAGAGTGCTCAGACCTGATGTCTGCTAGGCCTTCCAGAAACTAGAGCAACAAGCAGACATTAAACCATAGGCAGGTGTAGCAGGCACACAATGTGACATTAAAGATAAGAACAAAACAGGAGCCGTGTAAATTGGGCCAGTCTGGCTACATTTCCTCCCAGCATAATTGAAGTGCAGTGTGCAAGCTGGAAACGTTTTTAAGTGGATGTTTGCATTTCATGTTATTGAGGGACTCATCACAGAGCTTTTGTCTCATGTTACATAACGTAAGTCATATTTCTTGGGTATCTGAACAATTCAGAAAAAAGCCTTCATTTTAAAGTTGAATGTAATGCAGGTAGATGTTCCGGGTAATGGTCACTTACAAAGCCAGTGTTGCTCACTTAGGGTTTCCCACTAATAAACCAAACAGGCTTGTGAACATTTAAGCGTTATTTGTTTAATTACTTTTAGTGTCTTCTCATAAAACGCTCATAAAGTGGGTTGAGATGGAGAGGGGAATGAGAGGTGGAGTTTGTGTGTCAAGATAATCCATAGTAAGGCATTGCTCCTCTGCCCTTGTTTGTCACTGTCATTGGACTTTCGTACCCAATATGTTTGCATTTAATTAAACAAAGCACACAACTTTACATCACTTCCTTGGCTATCAATATCACATCAGAATTGATTGCCTCTTTCTTTAAAAAAAAAAACAAAAAAAAAACAAGGCAAAGGAGATGCATGACATGAAAGCCACCCTGAAACTAATTAGAAGGACAGCAGGACAGAATGAGTAATATGACATTAAGGCAAAAACACACACAATGATTGGGCTAAAAGACAAAGACCAGTGACAATCAATCTAGCTTATTCTGTCAGTAAAACCACAGCAGCCCTCCTCTGTAGCAGCGGGAGAAAGGAGAGGTTTAGTTAGCATTGTTGTATGATTGTAGTGCATCATTAGATGTATTGTGTACCAGACTAATAAGGTTAGGTTTTGTGTGGGGTCTCACCTGGCCAGAGTCCACCTGGCCAGGTTATTAATGACATATACTATGTCATAAAAGATGCTGTTCAGACCCTTAACCTAAGGGCAGCATGCTATTGCGGTCATTTCGTACACAGCCCGCTCTCTTATATTCCGAGATATATGAAATGTTTCATTAGTCATAGTCCTTACTCAAGCTTTATTGATTGGGTTTTCACAAATCATTCTGTTTTTTGGCCATGACTCTAGCAGGTAACTGGTTCAAAGGTTTTTTTAAGCTGTGCTGGAGACATTTATTGGTTTCTTTCCAAGCACAAAGGACGCCTACATATTTTTCCCAGTAATTTTTAGTAATTTTTTTTTTTTTCCCAGCTAATGCTTTCTTTTTCTTATCCATTCTTCTGTATTTATTCCTCACATCTTACTGAAAACTGATTGTGTGAGTCTGATGCAGCGCTGTGGAGCATGCTGAACTGTAATGTATTCCACTGCCGTTCTGCTGCATTATTATTACCCCAGATATTGTCTCATGTACCGACATTCCATTTCAATATTAGATGTGTCTGTTGGCGCAGGGTGTTGATATAGAGTTACCACATCTCACCTGCAGGTAAACTGGGAGCATGCTCTCATGGTATGGGTCAAGTTGTGTGTTTGTGTAAGGAACTTGGCCATTGGTATTTCTCTCCTTGTGCAGTGAAACAAGGGGCAGGGCACACCTGTTGGCACACTGTTAGTCAAATATGACTGCTTGTGCTTTGACTGATTTTTTTATTTTTTATTTTTTTATTTTCCGGCCGGTTTATTCGCTCTGCTTCATCTCTACTGATAAAATCAGTTGAATCCTTAGTGATGTGGTCATTATAATATAATAAAATCTATCTGTCTATCTGCCTGGAGTGTAATGATACACACAGTTCAATAGGCTTAAAATGTGCTCAGTTTTAATTTGCTTTAAAAAAATCTACATTGGATAGATGTTTAACTTTGATCAATATTTCAAACTAGTATTTGATGACTTACTTATTGTTCTTCAGAAGAGCAGAATGTTTAGGTGACGCTGGGATACTGGGCTAAAATATTTGCCTTTTATTCATTTTACGGCATTATGTAATGCAGATTCAGGGGATGGGATCTAGTTCCAATTTCTGTATTTCAAAAATATATTATGTATTGTTACATAAAGAGATATTCATACAAAATATCGGCATTGGTGCACAATTCCCAGATTGATGCTTAGTATTTTATAGTATCTGAAAATCTATCTGTCTCTCAATCTGCCTATCAATCATATGTGCAGCTATCTTTAGCACCAGTTTAGTGCTTTTTAATTGCTCTTTTTTTCCTCTTAGTGCACAACAGAGCCAAAGGCATGAGTTTAACTGGAAGGAGCCTGCCAGGTCGCTCTCTCCTAGCTATGAAAAGGACAGCCCTGCAGCCCCCAACCAAACCCTGCTGAGTCGTCTGCAGCAGCTGACCTCAGAGCTCCAGAGTACGCAGACCCAGCTGCGCATGACCCAAGAGTCTGAGAGTGAGGCCACTGCAAAAGTGCAGAAGTAAGTACAGCCACCACTAAACCAAGCACTTGACTATGGGAGTGTGCTTTGGTGGTCACCTCACCGTGGAATAACATCTGTCTCAGAAAAGGTTTTGCAGTTTGCAGCCTCTTAATAGTTCATTTGTGTAAATTAATGTGAAATCCATTGGCCAGCAAACATGAAATGCAAAAGCACAGATTTTGAAAATGTTTGTAAGATGATTTCCTTAAGGATTATTTAAAGTAGATTCTCTCTGAAGTAGCAGTAGTCTTTCTACTGTTGTTGAAAAAAAAAGTGAATTCAAATGATAAATCTGGTTCTTTAATTCTGTTCTATACTTCCTTTCTATTTACTTACTTCTAGACCCCATAAAATTACCTTTCCTGTTGTACCTGTAGACGTGTTCTACTGCTCTGGCTTCCAGCTAGCTGGGAGCTTGTCCCATGATGTGTCCCTCGCTCTCTCTCTTTCTCGCTTCTCTCCCTCACACCGGGGCTCCCCACGCAAAGCAAACATGGCTCGGCCTGCTGATCTATTTACACGATGAATTAACCAACCAGGGGGTGGGGATGCAAAGCTGAGGGGGTGCTCAAAACCCTGAGAGAACCCCCAACACCCACCACCAGCATGAGAAGCCTGAAAAAAGAGGGAACTTTACTATTGTGTTTAAAGGGGGTGGTCCTGAAATGGTTCCTTTTTGTGACAACATCACACAGACTATGTTCACTAATGTGGGACTTTAGACCCCTTAATGCACTCTGCCCTGCCCACCCTCAGTGTCCCATTTTCAGAGTGATCTCATTGTCATGCTCATTTTTCAGTATCTGAAATGCATAGTTCAAAGCATTGCTTAAGAGTAAAATAAGCAGTATTGCTGGTACATATTTGCAGTCCGTATGATTTAACACAACGCTGGATTGGGACGTACTGTAACGTACTGTTACCCTCACTAATGTTGAAAAAAAATTAACCTGGTGTTTCTTGTGTTCTATACTATATGTATTATATAGTATGGTGCAAAAGTCAGAGACCATGCTTCATTTATTTCATTTCCAGAAGAAACAGCTCTTAAGTACAACCTAAAATTATTAAAAGATATAGAGAAAATGGGGCTACTAACAGCTGATCTGGTAGACCTGGTAGACCTCCAGTAATGTAACCATCAGGCAAACAGTACTTAAATCTTTCATATTTGAGAGATAGGAGAAAATCAAGCTCCACTCTTACTTCAGATCTGAAAAAATCCACAGGTATTTCTGTCCATCCTTCCACTGTGAGAAGACAACTCAACACTGTGAGTCTGAAAAGATGTGTAGCTTTCAAGAAGCTGTTACTGAGAAAAGGAAATAGACAAGGCAAACCCTTTTGCATTTGCCAATTTAAACTTCTAAGATTGAACTGTGGATGTGTGAAAATATCCCTACAGATTTCTCTGAAAAATTGAGAGCAAGAAAGGAAAGAAAGCTGTAATAAAGGCAAATGGTGGACACACTAAATACTGAAAATGTTTGTATTATATTTAGTTGTTGAGGCTCCTGTTTAATCTTCTGTTGGAAGTATGTTTTCTGCTTTTGTAATGGTGTTGAAAAAGAAATAACGTATTTATTGGCCATTTTAACTGGAAATTAAAGAAATAAAGGATGGCCTCTGACTTCTGCATAGTACTGTACATATGATTGAATTATAAACTGAAGTATTTGTTATCAGGGTGTTTTTACATTTACAATGTTGTGTCCTGTGCGTGTGTGTGTGTCTCTGTCTGTCTGTCTGCCTGTCTGTCTGTCTGAGCCACTTGCCTGTTTGTGTTAACGTACTGATTTAGAGGCATGACCCAGCCATCTCCACAGTTCAAAGTTCAGCTATGTGTGAAGCACAGTTACTGCTGCGAAGGGAACATCTATCTCACCACTGTGCCGTGCCATTTTACTGGAAGTAGAAACAAGCGAGTTCCTCACGTTCTGAGAATCGTCATGTTATTTATTTCCCTGAAGCCTGAATCAGCGCCAGCGTCAAGGCTTAGGCCTTCTCTCTGCCAGACGCTGTGTAGTGGCCACACTCGGGACCTTTTCAACCACAGTTTGTTTGCCAGAGAAGGGGCCTGATGGTGGGGGATCGGCTGTGGCAGTGCTGAGAAGAGGACTGTTGTAGGGTGGAGGTGAAGGGTTTTTTTTGGAAAGGGGAAGCAGAGACAGACGGGAGCAGCATCAGTGTGCAGTGCAGACGGTGGGACAGGGCAAGGGAATATGAACTGCTCACACCTGAACGCTAGCTGACACTCAGATGGATACTCCGCGGTCACTGGACTTCGGGCGGCGGTGGGAAGCAGCTCTGACGTGGGCCTAGTCACACAGCGGTGAGAAGAATGCAGGGCTGAAGCCGGGGGGGCCTTGGCCCCCGCTGCACGTAATGCTGGGAGGAGGAAGCCCTGAGCAGGCCCAGAATGTGGCACCTGAGTGCTGGGCTACAGCCCCCATTGATGGAGGGGCTGAGCTGAAAGTCTAATGACCCACTGAATCAAACTTGGCCATGAGAAGCACACAAAGGCCCTTTTCATCGGCCGGCCGGCCCACAAATGGGCTGCAGCTTGTGCTTCCCATCATGCCTCGGGCTTACAGGCTGCCGTGTGGGCCTGTCTCTGTCTGGCACAGCTTGTGCTGACCCTCCACGCTGGCCTGTTGTTGCTACATCTTTACTCACTCTGCCACTGATCACACTGTCCTCCTGCAGCACTCCAACACTCTGTAACTGTAACACCATAACTGATTTGCTATTCAGTTGAAGCGATAACATTTCCACAGGAACTCTGGTGTTTCCATGCGCTATAGAAAAACCGATGCTGTTTTGAAATTTATGCAAGGTCGCTGTTTACTCTGTCTTTTTTGAGCTGTAATTGTTGGTTTTACGACTCTGTGAATTCTTAATCAGGATTTATGTTTTTGCCGGATCTTCCCTGGCGTGTATGTTTGGGTTTACTGGCTACTCTCTGCAAACAGTGTTTCCCAAATCCCCAGCAGCACATCAGCACACCTTGGATATCCTGCTGCAGAAGCGTAGACCCTCTAATTGTGCAAACAAATTAGAGACTAACAGATATATTTAAAATGCTAAAATTGTGCACCAGTGGTGAAAAGGTTGTTTATGTGAGGTGTGTGTGGAAGTGGGAAATGTGCAGTACTGTGCAAAAGTAAGAGATTTATTTAATTTCCAATCAAATCAGCTGTTAAGTACTAATTGGTTATTTTCCAATGTCGAAAAATAGTGGAAAAAAAAAACAAAAAAAACAGAAAATTAAAAGTTACATAGAAGACTGAAGTGGTTAAATATAATATATTTATAATTTTCCACACATCCAAAGTTCAGTCCTAGAAGTTGGTTGCATTTTCTGTTTTTCAAAATCCAAGTAATCCCAAATACTAATTTAGATTTATCAGCCCATAAAACCTCACTCTTCATTTCAGAAGTCCAGTTTTGATGGTTTAGTGCAATTTTTTACCTTTTTTGTCTGTTTCCTTTTCCCAGTAATGACTTCTTAACAGCTACACATCCTTTAGCGTTGAGATGCACAGAAACACCTGTGGATTTTCTCAGATCAGAGGCAAGAATAGCACTTGACTTTCTCCTCTCTCAAAGATAAAAAGCTTTTAGTACAGTTTATCTGATGGTGACAATTTTGTGGTCTACCAGGTCTTGCACAGTTGTTAGGAGTCCTATGTTGTCTATATCTTTAAATAGTTTCTTTAATCTCTAATTTTGGAAGCAGTTTTTTCACAATTTTTTCTCTGACTTCTTTATGCAAGTGGATTATCTTATATTGATCTCCTCAGAAATATCTCCTGAAAAATGAGTTACTTGTACTTAATGGCCATTTTAACTGAAAATTAAATAAATGGAGGGTCTGACTTTTGCAAAATACTGTATATGTTGATTAGTTTGCCTGTATGTAAACAGGCATGTATGTATGGCTCTTGCATTCAGCAACAGTGACCTTTCATAAATATTAGTCAGTGTTTTATCCCTGTTGTCCCTCACTCAGCCTCAGACTGATGTGATGCATCTCTCGGCCACATTTGTTTGTTTGTGTGTATATACACACACATACTAGCGGAGTGTATATTCACGGAGTGCCTCAGTGTGTGTGAAATACATATGGCCAAGCAGTCGTGCTCAAATCTCCTAGCGCAGGGAAACAGGTGGAGGCTGCTGAGGAAACAAGGCTTGGGTCAGACCACTCCCATATGCTCCCTGATAAGCAAGAGCAGCCTGGCTAGACAATGCCCAACCACAGCACTCAACCACAGCTCGTTTCATTAGGCTGCTATGACGAGACTCAGTGTTGTTTGTTCTCGATGTTTCTAGTGTTGATGGGGCTGTTGCAATGGCAGAATGCAGCTAAATTGACTTTTTTTCAATAGAAAATACTGAATTCTTGTTTTATAAAATTTTCTTGGTAGGTTTCTGGAACGCCTCTCGTCTGCTGTTTGTAATGAATATTAAAATAGTCAAATGACACATTAATGAAATAGTTTCTAGAATGAAGTTAATTGGTTTGTAGTTTCCGTTTTCCTTGTTCTTCATTCTTCATGGAAAAAGAGTTTTGTGACATGGCATACAGTTGTATGTAAATAAGTTTGAACATCCCTGGCCAAATGCAATGTTTTGTTTTGTGAGAACAAGCTGACACATCCTCTACAGGCAACATGCTTAAATATGGCAGGTTCTGCAAATTTTAGTGTACAATTTCTATTTATTTGCTGAGTTTAACATATTGGAAAAAAAGAAAATAGAAAATGTGACATGACTTTTTTGTGGCCAACATTAGTTTTAATATGTTAAATTCAGTAAATAAATAGAAGTTTGCAGGAACCTGCTGTATTTAAGTTTGTTCCCTGTAGAGGATGTGTTAAAATATTTTTATTAAGCAAATCAACAAAACATTCTGGTCATTTGACCAGGGGTGCCCCGACTTTTCATACCACTTTATGTAACAGCTGTACTCTTTGGAAAATATTTAGTTTAAAACAGATTTGTTTGAACTAAAATTTAAAAGTTTAACAACAAATTAAAAAAAAAAAACACAAACATTGAAAAAACATGACCTTTGGAAAAACAGGGCTTCACATCACTGGGAGAAGTTATATTTTAGCTCCTTTTCTAATAGCCCTGTAGTAGTTTAAATATGTTTGCTTTTCACACATTTCTGTCGTAGTAACGTAGATTGTGTTTGTCATCTGCAATTTTTTTTTTGCCAAAATGGTATTGTTTTTAAATTGTTACATTTGTTTATTTTGCAGTATTATTGTTTTGATATAGCATTGCTGATAATAATATTGAGAATATCTAGAGTGAATTTGTGGTATAAATGCTGATGTTTAGAATACACTGTCACTCTACATGTGTTCTTCCTTTATGCAGCACTGAGCTCCTGGCCTTTCTGCACAATCATAAGCGCAGGTTTCTCTACTGCACAAAACAGTCTGGTTTGTCAAAAGAGAGAAACGAGTACAGTGATGGATGTTTTAGGATGTGATTTTAGTATGAAAGATAGTTTTCCTCTTTGAGAACTGTGTCCTGTCTTGGTTTGTTTCCCTTCTATCAAAGCAAATGAGGTGACACTTTCTTTCTATCTCTCTCTCTCTCTCTTTCTCTTTCTCTCTCTGCAGGCTGGAACGGTTGGTGGAAGTATTGAGGAAGAAGGTGGGCACAGGCAGTGTCCGTACTGTGATCTGACTGGCCGGTGGGTGACCGGAGCAGACGGACACATCTGGTGACCAGGCTGCTGCGTTTAACTCTGAGCAAACAGCTGAAGCCTGGCCTGGGCAAACACAGGCTGGAAGTGCCGCTCGCTCTCTCACCCTCAGTCCTGCACTCATACCCAACCAGGCTCCATCGTAAATGTTTAACCACTCGCTTCTCATTGCTGCAGTCATTGACTGATACTGCTGTAACCACCACATTACCCAAAGTGTTAAATCTTCTTCTTTTTTTTTTGTTTTGTTTGAGCAGAGTGTTATGTGTAAGCGAGAAAGAACAAGGGAAAATTATATATTTAATGGGTCTTACACTAGGATAACCACTCATTTTGAGATGTCCACTTTGGATATATCATGTATCAAGCTGGCCTTTGATGTTATGATTTCAGATATATCTGGGCAGTGTCATGTATTTTTTCACATATTCAAAAATAAAGGGACATTGATGAGTTGATCAAAATCTGTGTCTGTTAATGATCTAATACCTTTGAGTAAATTAAAATAATTGTTACATTTTTAATTTGTAAATTTAAAATTATACCTTTCTAATTCATTCTTGTTTTGTTTTGTCTCTCAGGAATGTGCTCAAAATGTATATGTATTAGTTGACAAACTGAAATAGAGTCTACTGGTATCTTACCTCCTTCTCAGACCAGCAAGGAGGTTTTTGGACTGGTTGTTATCTCAGAATGTGATAATGGATTTACTGCCCTTGTATTTTCAGTCAGCAATAGTGTTAACTTGTACTGATTTATTATTAGCTGAACGAATTTTATACGTTCATCCAGTTTTTTCCATAGTTTTAACAGATGTGAAATATTATTTGGTATAATTCAACAATGTAATATCAGACAATCTTTAGCCTTCAGTTTGTAGTAAAAGCTGTTGTGAAATGTAATATATTTTTATTTAAGATGTTTAACTTTGTATTCTACACATTTAATGTTTATTTTAATAATGGGTTAAATGGGTTTACTGCGTTTTGAACAGTAATAATGGATGAAAAGCAGTTGCTTTTGAAAGTGTCTTTGAAAGGTTTGGTCATTCACAATTCCCCAAGTAATGTTATGAAATTTGGGATTTTCTCCTGCCTTCTCCTGTTTCTAGACCCGTTGGCCTACTGATAATTCATCACCCAGAGAGATGAGCCAACTTTTACTAAGATCTCCGTGCCCACCCCTGACATGCTTTCCGTAGCCTTCCAGGAGCCCCCACCACACACACACACACACACTCACACTCCCTCATGTGAGGTGGGCACTGTAACGCTCGCTTGTGTTCTTCAGCGTGATCGATTATGTACTCAGAGCTGCGGACGGTGCTGCGTTGCCCTGGAGTGGTTGAATAAAGAAAGGAGGGGCAGCTGAAGGCGGTTCGTGCTGCTCACTTGCCCTCCCCTCTAATCAGTCCCAGCGCCAGGACAAGCGCGCAGGTCCCCCCTTTCACTGCTTGAACACCGCGGACATGGCGCGGCTCGGGGGTCCCGCACCTCCCTTACCGAGCCCCCTGTGCCACCAGACCGTCCCGCTTCTCGGCTTTTGTCTTAAGAGAAAGTGAAAATGATGTTTCTGAGTGGACAGTGAGCGCTGAGAGGAGCGCTGCTGTAGATGCTGCTGCTGCAGTTGTTGGAGGCGTTGCTGTGTCCCTGTGGAGGCCCGCAGCCTGTGTTTGCTGGGCCGTAACAAAAGGCAAAATCCCGATTATCCTCCCTAAAATCGGTAGCACGATGACCGGACTACAAAACAACTTTTTATACGCTTTAATTAAAACCGTGTTTCGACAGCCTCTGCTGAATGACCCTCAGAGAAAAGCGTGACTGATCCCGTTGCTATAACGACACCAAATATGTCAAGCCTCTCTCTCTCTCTCTCTCTCTCTCTCTCTCTCTCTCTCTCTCTCTCTCTCTCTCTCTCTCTTTATCCCACCTCCTTCTCTTTTCAGTCGGACACTGCAGACTACTTATAGTCCACTATCAGCCATCCGAATTAAAACACTAACGTCTGATCGCGCTGCTCTCACAGCAACGAGGGTCGTTTACTCTCATATACCCGCGTTTATTTACTCATAAATAAATAAATAAATAAATCTTTCACACACTGTGCTCAACGAATCTAACTTTCAGGTGGCTGAGTGATGCTCTGCATCCCTCATCACAGCCCAGTACATTTGATCAAATTTGTTCTTGCACTCTAAAGAGTGATGAGATAAATAATAACACACTTGTGTTCCCTGTTCTGTCACCTTTTGTGTCATTGTTTTCTGATTTAACACCTGTGTTAAAAGCGACACCAAATCCAACTGAACGCACTGATGTGTTCAGACTGAGACAGAATGTGTCGCTTTTTTAACACATCTGTTCAAGAGCGCGCGCTGCTCAGATTATATGTATATTTTTAGACGCGCACAGAGCGCGCGGCGTTTGAAGAGCGAGACCCCGCCGCGTCCATAAAACAACTCCAACTGGCACTTTCAGAGCTTTTTCAGAGGAGCTAATGAAGACAGAAAACACAGAGCTCGAGTAGGGGAGCTCGGAGACCACCAACCTGACATGGCTGATGCATATTGGGGGGGGGGGCCGCAAAGCCCTAATAAACTTCTCCCGTATCATTTTTAATGGAAAACCAGCTGCTTCTAAAGCTGATTTCGGATAGAGATCTCTCCCTCTTCTCCCTCGCCCTTTGAAAGCTCCCTTTCTTTCGTGTGTGTGTGTATGTGTGTGTGTGTGTGTGTGTGATTCTGGAGGGCTAATGCTTTGCTCTTTTCGTTGGCCAAGCACAATTGTGTTATTGGAGATAATTAATTCAATCCCCATCAAAAGGTATTAGGAGCGCCTTGGCCCTGTAGTGGCTTTCTAAACTCGGAATGAAAGGCCGGGGAAGAAAGGTCCACTGCGAGGCCGCTCATGGCCGCTTTTGAAGTAAAGGGCCCTGCGCATTGTTCAACACATTTTTGTCCATAAGGCCGAAGAAAGCGCCAGAGCTTTTGATGGGGTAACGAGAAATGCCACATAAGTTGGAAAACAAGGCGCTGGTGAAGCCTCCGGGCTGGACACTGCCCGCTGCTAACATATGTTCCTCATTAATAAAGCCCGATGCGCTGCTCTGAGGAGGACAGAGGAGAAGTGACCATACACAAGGTTTTAGATTAATATCAGCATTCAGTCAGGTGGAGAATGAGGACCTAGCGTAGATATTTAATTAATAATAATAATAATAATAATAGTCCTTAAAACAATAACAGTGATTGTAATAATAACAATAATACATCAATAAACCTGTGATGAAATGACCGTTTTGCCCATATTTAAAATATCATATATATATATTATATTGCTGCTGCTAATAATAATAATAATAATAATAATAATAAACCAAAGAATGTGTAATTAAATGACCATACTGCCCATGTTCAAAAATAATTATAAAACCAATATGTATAAAATACTACTACTACCACTAATAATAATAATAACAATAATGTTATTATTATTATTATTATTATTGTTGTTGTTGTTGATTCATTTATTTTAAACCTGGGCAATACTGTCATTTAATTACAGGTTTATTGATGTATTATTATTGTTGTTATTATTATTATTATTATTATTATTATTATTATTATTATTGTTGTTGTTGTTATAGTACATCAATAAACCTATAAATAAATGATGATATTGTCCCAAAAAAACCCCAAAAACATTTAATAATTGACTCTAGTCTAACAGAGACCCTAGTCTAATGTTTCTAAACCACACTGTGTCCTATAAAACACGCTGGTGGTCTTCATGTAAATTTATAGTTAAGATGACTATCACAGTAATGTGGTTGACAGTTTGCACACATTGCCTATTAAAATAACGGTATAAACTGTTATAATTCTATAGAAATATGACTGTAAAAGTCCTCGAGCTCTTCTTCAGTGGTTTCAATTTCAACTCGTTTCTGTCTCCGTTTCCGCGCTGCTGTAAAACTCTCTGACTTGTTCAGACAGACTGACTGTCAGATTCTTTACGAAAACAGAAAAACAGTAAAGCACCTTTATCATCTTTATCACCTTCAGCAGAAGCAGCTCCATCCTGCACTCTCACACTGCTGCAGATTAAAGCTGAGTATAAGAGCCGCTTCTCACACCACATCATTTGTAAGAGCCGCACAGCCCAGTTTGATCATCTCTAACGGAGAGTTAGAAGGTAAATAAGTTCAGTTCCTGTGGTCGGGCACACACTCTGCACTGAACCTGATAGCTCACGCGGCTGTGGCTGATGCTGACCACTAACAAAACATCATTTAGAAAAGACAAAAATCAGCCACCGCGCGCGGGGGGAGATGTTTCTGTTTCTGTTCTGTCGTAATTTCTGTTATATTTACTCTACAGTCACTGCTGTCTGAACACCCTGAAATATTACACTTTAAATAAAACATGCGGCCATATAAAGTACTCAGATCAAACGGTTTTTGTTTCAAATGAAAAAGTGTGCAGAATAACGCACCATCCAGCGCGCGCCTTTACACACGGGGACAGAAGACTCACTCCTTCCTTAAATTTATTACTTTATAATAGCTTTTTTATTATGAATATATTTTTTTGCATCGCGTCCTTTGAGTGTCAGGGGCGTTTCAGCGCGTGCTTGATGTCTTCATAAGCTTTTATGTTTAGGATGATGAGGTCATCAGCAGATGTGCCGGGCCTCGTTTGAGTGTATGAGCGTTTTAAGTGTAATTTGGGTTCAAATGTTTTATAAAGTAAAAAAAAAAAAAAGTTAAGTAAGCGCGTGAGTGAAGTCTGAGTGAAGGAGGACGAAATCTCAGTGGCGGTTACGCGTTGTCAGCGCGGTACACTAGCCTCAGCTCAACTGCCCCCATTTTATTTACGCATCGGGGGGCAATTACATGATAATTAAATGAATTTCACGGTTAGTCAGCCAAAATGTGTGTCTACAAAATACCATGATCAAAGTAAAATCTGTTCAGGTTCACGTGGCCGTCGTGTAGGTTACCGCTCCACAAAAAGATGATTTGGCCTCCCTAAGATATTGTTAAAAATCCCTTTTAAAAAGCGATCGGATCTTTTCTGGCGCGGGGCTTTGAGGCTGCGTTTGTGTTAGACTTGGATTTTCTCTTGGTCTTTTACCAACACGCAGTCAAAGCAGGCGAGTATCAGCCAAAGCGCGCGCGCTGCCTGCGCGCACCTCAGAGACGCGGCTCAGGACTCACAGCGCGCACTGAACATTCTTTAATACCAACTTCTCTTAGATTTATTTACTGACTTATTTTCTGTTTAACTGCTTTAATGTGTGCGAAAATGCTGGGGGGGTCGTACAGCTGAAGCGCAGACCCTCTCCACTGAAATTCGACCAGATTTGAGATCAACTGAGAGCTGAAAAAGTAAAGATTTAATAAATAAATAAAACTGAACACTCAAAAAAAAAAAAATAATAATAATAAATCAAAGCAG